CCACATGTCAGAATTTTCGTCATTTGCGTGTTATGTCTATGGAAGGTGAATTTCGTTCACATCATGAATCTGCATGGCATTCATCTATGAGCACTATCTATCTTATGTGTGCTCTGTTTTCTCCCAAATTGGGGTATGTTATAGCTGAGACCATGGGCTATAAAAACGGTGTACTTTGTTTTTTCATCGGATGTTGGGATCATGTCGGAATTTTCAATCGAAAGTTGAAATTGCAAATTTTGACGGAATCATTAGGTGATACGTAACGAAGTCTACGTATCACCTATTGATTTCGTCAAGATTTTTAGGTGATACGTAACGAAGTCAACGTATCACCTTTTGATTTCGTCAAGATTTTTATTTATTTTTTTTTTTATTTATTATTCTTCCTCGAATTTGTTCGCAGGATATCTCAAGACTCAATAAAGCCATTGTTATGAATCTTTCACTGATGATAGATCTTAGTCTAACTTAGAACTGCGTGACTTTTCAAAGACTCAAAGTCATCGTGACGTCATCCAGGCGCCATTTTGTAAAAATCAACTTATGATCATATCTTCATAACGGAAAGTAATTTTACATTCATATTTATCAAGATTAAGATCAATATCCGTCGGATCAATATGAGGTCAATAAATGCGCGCAAAAATGCGCGTACGCGTAGGCGCGCGCGTCAATGCGCGCGTAAAATTTTAAATTGCTCAAAATCGTCTTAAATTTTTTTTGCATACGTTTCAGGCCATTTTAAGCATTTCATAAAAAATCACGCAAAACACGCATTTTTGCACGTTTTCGTTCGTCACGGCCGAACGAAAAATAATTTCTCCGCAAAAGCTCTTGACCGAATATTCCTCATATTTTTCCGGAAAATTTGATACCATGTTTAGCTCTTTATCACTATTAAAAACGGAATGAGCGTCCGTTCAAGATAACCGTCCGTACGCGCGATTTTTGTAATACATTGCATATATGGGCAAAAACATGCCTATGAAAAGTCCATTGGGATGAATAGGGATTGCCAATTTTTTTTTCATATTTAGATAGAGTATGAGTCGGAGGTATGATTTCATATCTCATTTGGCCATTAAGTACATCTTGACGGCATCATAATGGCCTTGGAAGTCAAAAATACAAAATTGCATATTATGACGTCATTGTATTTATGGAAAATGTAGTGTATTTCTCTCAATATTCATCGATTCTCTTTGAAATGTCGATATGTTGTAGATAAGGCAATTCTCTACAAGATCACTTTTCACTAAGTTTCATTTTAATGAGGTCATCATAGTACAAAATTCAATTAAAGGCCACATGTCAGAATTTTCGTCATTTGCGTGTTATGTCTATGGAAGGTGAATTTCGTTCACATCATGAATCTGCATGGCATTCATCTATGAGCACTATCTATCTTATGTGTGCTCTGTTTTCTCCCAAATTGGGGTATGTTATAGCTGAGACCATGGGCTATAAAAACGGTGTACTTTGTTTTTTCATCGGATGTTGGGATCATGTCGGAATTTTCAATCGAAAGTTGAAATTGCAAATTTTGACGGAATCATTAGGTGATACGTAACGAAGTCTACGTATCACCTATTGATTTCGTCAAGATTTTTAGGTGATACGTAACGAAGTCAACGTATCACCTTTTGATTTCGTCAAGATTTTTATTTATTTTTTTTTTTATTTATTATTCTTCCTCGAATTTGTTCGCAGGATATCTCAAGACTCAATAAAGCCATTGTTATGAATCTTTCACTGATGATAGATCTTAGTCTAACTTAGAACTGCGTGACTTTTCAAAGACTCAAAGTCATCGTGACGTCATCCAGGCGCCATTTTGTAAAAATCAACTTATGATCATATCTTCATAACGGAAAGTAATTTTACATTCATATTTATCAAGATTAAGATCAATATCCGTCGGATCAATATGAGGTCAATAAATGCGCGCAAAAATGCGCGTACGCGTAGGCGCGCGCGTCAATGCGCGCGTAAAATTTTAAATTGCTCAAAATCGTCTTAAATTTTTTTTGCATACGTTTCAGGCCATTTTAAGCATTTCATAAAAAATCACGCAAAACACGCATTTTTGCACGTTTTCGTTCGTCACGGCCGAACGAAAAATAATTTCTCCGCAAAAGCTCTTGACCGAATATTCCTCATATTTTTCCGGAAAATTTGATACCATGTTTAGCTCTTTATCACTATTAAAAACGGAATGAGCGTCCGTTCAAGATAACCGTCCGTACGCGCGATTTTTGTAATACATTGCATATATGGGCAAAAACATGCCTATGAAAAGTCCATTGGGATGAATAGGGATTGCCAATTTTTTTTTCATATTTAGATAGAGTATGAGTCGGAGGTATGATTTCATATCTCATTTGGCCATTAAGTACATCTTGACGGCATCATAATGGCCTTGGAAGTCAAAAATACAAAATTGCATATTATGACGTCATTGTATTTATGGAAAATGTAGTGTATTTCTCTCAATATTCATCGATTCTCTTTGAAATGTCGATATGTTGTAGATAAGGCAATTCTCTACAAGATCACTTTTCACTAAGTTTCATTTTAATGAGGTCATCATAGTACAAAATTCAATTAAAGGCCACATGTCAGAATTTTCGTCATTTGCGTGTTATGTCTATGGAAGGTGAATTTCGTTCACATCATGAATCTGCATGGCATTCATCTATGAGCACTATCTATCTTATGTGTGCTCTGTTTTCTCCCAAATTGGGGTATGTTATAGCTGAGACCATGGGCTATAAAAACGGTGCTTTTAGTTTTTTGATCAGATGATGAGATCATATCACAATTTTCAGTTGAATGTTGAAATGATGAATATGTCACGTATGTCCTATTTGTGAAACTTAAACGTTAGCAGTGTCCTCGTATTGAAATTATGTAAGGAAACCCTTTTACTTTCTAGACTGTACTCTCAGACACTATTGAGTGACTGACTGACATCTTTTTTTCTCTGGTAATAAAATACATAAAATGAGCGTTATAGAGAACATGAGCATTCGGCTACATTAATAACCCACTCTGTTCTCATTGTTCATTTCCTATTCAAGACTTGAATAATGACGAACTTCATTCAATATTTGGTAGTAATACTACAGATACTTATACTGATATCAATGATTTAAACTATTTATCCGAAAAAGAATATGAGTTTCATTTCAGTAGGTTTCTGAACTGTAAATATTATATTGATGAGGATTTTACGACTGAATTCAGTAACATTAACTATCATTTTTTAGTATTTTACATTTTAATTCGCGTAGTTTAAACATACATTGTAATGCTTTATCCAATTTCATCTGTACTTATGTATAGAAACTTGGGTTAATGATAGTACGCCACTATTATTCAATGTATCCGGTCATTCATTTATACAATTTAATCGCCAAGTACAAAAGAGTGGAGGTGTTGGTCTATTGGTCGCTGACAATTTTGAATATGAAATACGCAATGATATATGTATATTATACCCATCATACAACTATGAATCACTGTTTATTGAAAGCAATTTCCCTGTCGTTGAAAATGTTTTACAAAAAACACATACTGAACATAAACAGGTTTATATAATGGGAGATTTTAACATTGATCCCGTGAAATTTACTGGCAATGCTGTATGTAATTTCTTGAGCGAAATACATTCAAATCTTTGTATTCCTTTAATTGACAAGCCTTCAAGAAAGACTGACGGATCAATATCCCTCTAATCCACATTCTTTATACAGTGACAGTATATATCCATCCGATATTTAAAGATTTTATTTTCAAGCAACTAGTGAATCTCACGTCGACAACTCAAAATGATCGCTAATGTATTCTCACACTTTTCATTTACGCCGGGACATCGTGACGTCATACACTATACATTTTTAATTATTCAGGCATAAGCTCTTATTTATCAATTATATTTTCATTTCTTTGAATAAGATAAAAATCGTCAAAATGCGTTCTTCATGATGTAAATTAGAGTCAAAGGTGTAACTGGTTACTGCACAGAGTCAATGGTCATATATTGTCTCAATCTATCTTCCCTATATCCATAATGATCAAGGGATCGACACAATTTAAACTTGACATATGGATAGATCATTATGGGAAGAGCATTTTATAAAATAATATGATATCGTGTAATGCATTCTTTGTTATGTAAACCAATATCATACGTATCACCTAATTCGTCTAAGTGACGAATTAAAGTCTAGTTGTAATCTGTATTTCTTTGTAAGGGGCTCTTCCACATTTAGAATAAAATAAACTGTCCCACAGAAAGAGATGTTCCTGCATATTTTGTATTTTTTTATAACTTTGTCTGTTCAATGCAATATTCTCACCTCCAGTCCCAGCATTTATAAGAAAACTTTATTGTAATGAGTAATTATGTATTTTTAAAAATCCAATTCATACTTTTACTACTTTACTAGTTCTACGTGTAGAATTATATTGAGATTAGGTTGAGATACAATCTACTGGAATAAAAATTACAGTTAGTTTCAAATGTAATCTGGCCTTATTTTATTTTATTTTATTTTTTTTTTTTTTGGGGGGGGGGGTAGTGCTGTTATTATATTGCAAAAATCTAAATTTAAGATTCAAAATAAAAGGATGAAATGTCAGCATGAAGAAGCATAACATTCAAAAAATAACTTCTGATCTATATCTCCAGATAAACAGAAAATTGAATGTGTCATAGCTAAAATAGAGGGCAAATTAGGGGGTCATCTAGAAGTGGTCTCTGTTTTCTCATGATTTATCCTCCTCGCTTTTTACAATAATTAGCCACACTCGTGTATTGAGTGATTACTATGCTAGAGACTGCATGGAAACTGAAATTATGCAATTTAATCCCTTTCAGTTGTTTTTATTTGGCTACTTAATCAAATCTCATTTTAAATTGTTTAACATGTTATTTGATGATTTGTTTGCTTGTTTTTCTTTAAATAATTAACCTACTTCTGATGATTTCTTACCAATAGAGTTGTTATTTCTCAAGAGAACCGACTCTGTGCGGATTTGTCTCGGTCCAAACCTGGTTCCTGATTTATTTGAAGTTCCAATATCCAGAGGAATACCAACGAAACAAGCATCCAGTCCTGAAAATACAAAGTCAAAATTTTCCCATTAATTGGCTTTAAAAAATAATTTGATAGAGATAGAGATACATCATAACATGTAAATGCTTTTTTAAAAGATGAAGGCCCTAATGTTAGCCATGTTCATCTTGAAAATCAATGTAATTTGAAGGACCCATGCATGGGGGCTACGCCAGTTTGAAGGCGACGTACACTACTTTTACCCATCACCATGGTAATCACTGTCTGTAGTCTGAGAGACACGCCCACATCATGATTCATGCCACTCACACTATCTGCTTCAGCAAGTTTTGTGTTGGTATTTGTAAAATAAAAAATAAGAATAATAATACCAACCGTTTGAATAATAACAATCAATAAGACTAGCAATGCAAATTAAGGAAATTTGGTACAATAACAGAAAGCATCGGTTACCTTCAGCGGTCGTTTGATATGGTAGTCGCATCATCGTCGCAATGCCCCCAGCCCGCGGCATTTCCATACCAGACAGCGGTTCGTTGAACTTTCCCAGGCCAGTAGATCGGCGCAGGTACAGGGGTAGACCGAAAGCTTCAGTCTCTATAATCGTCGGTTGTTCCACTGAGACTACGTCTGGCTCCACTAGACCTCCGGTTATAGAGACAGAACGACTGCCTATGCCAGCCTGTGTTGAACTTATTCCGCTAGATTTTAGCCGCTAGGCCCCTCCCACAAACTTGCCACGGCCGTATTGTTATGCCCCCAAAATCCCCCAAAATGTCATTTTACCTCGTTCATTTCCAATTTTAAATTAGGCCTAGGCTATAATACATCGGTTCCACTTACTAACTTGATTGATATAATCCGTTTAATGGTCCCTTTTAAGGAAATTATCGGTCAAAATCGACATCCATGTTGAAAATCTTGCAAGCCGTGTTAAACTCTCGCTGCCGTCAATCTCATCCCTTCTAGTCTACACCGAAGGCAAAATGATTATGAAGGAAAAACTGTGCGCCATCTACACGTTCGTAATGGCGTTATCACAGTTTTTCCTTCATAATCATTTTGCCTTCGGCGTAGACTAGAAGGGAATGAGATTAGAATATACTTTTTTTTGGTGGACAGTTGCTAAAATCGATTCTGATTGATCATTATTGATTTACCAATAGAAGCCATTGGACTAGAGCGGACGAGCGGACGAGCGGACGTGCTTTTCAGAAGCTCTCTAGGAGCTTGTAGATTTCTTGTAGATTTCTTGTAGAATTTTGCCAATATTGTTAAAAATTGCCTCAATACCGGATATAGTTGGGACTGTTTTGCTTCTTTATACTGTTGAACTTTGGATTGAAACTATAGTGGATTCATACAAGCCTATACTTAGGATCAGAGTCAAAAGGTAAGCAAGTCTTGTGGGCTACTAACACATACCGCACCCTTAATTACACGGTAGACTGCACACAATTGAATTTCCCGCCCTTTTCAGGCAACCAACCAGGTCATGGCCGGAGTGACAAACACCGGCCAGGGCGAAGAGCCACCTCTTTTACAACCCAATGAAGAAGATGAATTTCGAACTGTAAATTACTCTCGTAGGGAGCAAAAACCGAGAAATAAACGCAGGCGCGAAGGAAGCATTGCAATTGAAAATCTTTCAATGAGAACAGAATCCTCTTCCTCAGAAGACCAAAATACAACCCAGAACCGCCAATCGGAACTCAAAGTCTTAATTACCCCCATAGATAAATCAAAATCGCTAAAGAATGTGAATCCCATTACTATAGCTAGAAATATCCGTGAAGCTTGTCCAAACCCTGTGGAATTTATCAAACCCACAGCCCAAGGTCTCCTTATCAAATGCAAAAACCAGAAACAAGTAAAAGCACTATCTCAAATTAGTAACATAGGAACCACCCCAGTAAAAGTTGCAGAAAAGCAGCAAGTTGTGAGAGGGGTCATATATGGAGTACCTACAGAAATGACTGATGACGAAATTCTCAATGAATTGAAACACCAAGGAGTAATTGATGTAAAAAGAATCATGAAAAGGTCCAAATCAAATGTAAAATCAATTGAAATTGAAGAAAGCAGACCCAATTTTATCCCAATGAGGAGTGTTATTATAGCATTCAACCGTACAAACCTCCCCAGCAACATAACAATGTGCTATCAACATTTTGAGGTTAAACTATACATTCCCCCCGTTTTGAGGTGCTTTCAATGCCAACGCTACGGCCACGGCATAGCTCAATGCAAAGCAAAGATGAGATGCGTCAGATGCGGGGAAGACCACAAATTTGAGGAATGTAACCGAAAAGAAAGACCGATATGTATAAATTGTGGTGGGAACCATTCAGCAGCCTTTGACGGCTGTCTTGAAGCTAAGAAAGCCAAAAAGATACAAATAGTAAAAGTCAAAAACAATCTTTCATACGCACAAGCTGCAAAAATACAGTCGGAGCAAGAAAAAGCACAGCAGAAACCACAAGCCAACCTCCCTGAATCACATCCCTCCCTCGATGTCAACTCAGATAACCTCCCTCTTCCTCCCCGACCAGTGAGGTCATCCACAGCAATCCGCCCTGAAAACGCCACCCCGCAACTTGATCCCCAGCCCTGGAACACCCCGCTGCAAAAAAACGCACAGAGCAGCAAATTAATAGATAAGGATGGAAAAACTGAAGTAAAACTAGAAGCCCTCCCTCGAGGTAACCTAGTAACATTAATGAGTGATGAGCAAATAATCTCTTTCATTACGCAACTTGTTCTCATTTTTACGGATGGAAAATCCGAGAAGGAGATTTCATCCTTAGTGAAAGTGGCAGCTGAGAGACTGCTCAAACAAAGAGTAAAACATGACGCTAAAGATGTACTGGTATAGCATAGTAATGATGATGACAGCGCTAACCATATTACAATGGAACGCGCAGGGACTTCTTAATCACGGTCCTGAACTTATAAAATACTTAGATTCATATAAAGATGTAAAGTACCATTTAATTTGTGTTCAGGAAACATGGTTCAATGATGATAGAATATTGCAAATCCCTGAATATACATGTTTTATTAGAAACAGGGAAAATCAATCTAAAGGAGGGTGTGCCATTTATGTACATGATTCCATCAACTATGAATATCCTGTCAATGACGAAGAATTCGAAATACAACATATTAAAGTTCATGTTGCTGGATCAAAAATCTCCATAATCAATTTCTATAACCCTTGCAAAAAATTAAACGAGATTGTTTTGAACAGGATGATTAACAAACTAGAATACAATCTATTCCTTATAGTTGGGGATTTCAACTCACATAATCCTGTGTGGGGTAGTGCAAAGATAGACCAAAATGGGCACACAATTGAAAATTTCACACATGACAATAACTTTATAATTTTAAACGACGGAAGAGGAACCAGAATAGATCCACGCACTGGGAAAATGTCATGTTTGGATCTTAGCATCACCTCCCCCAAACTATCTTGCCTATGCTCGTGGGAAGTTTTGCAGCACACCCTTGGTAGTGACCATTTTCCCATCTCCACCCAGATATTATTGGACCGAGCAGGGAAAGTAAACAGCAACAGCGAGAAGATAAATGAGGAAACAACTTGGTCTTTTAAAAATTTTGATTGGAACACTTTTGCCGAAAAATGTGAACATAAAATTGAACATAGTGGCAACTATTCCGACCCTACGAAAATGTATAAATGTTTTATGAAAAGTTTGTCAGAGACTATTAAAGAAATAATGCCCCAGAGGGGAAAGAAAAAACATGACCCTGTACCTTGGTGGACAAAAGACTGTACACAAAGTATCAAAGAAAGAAACAGGGCTAATAATAGATTAAAAAGACACATTTCAATAGAAAATCTAAATACATATTTGAAGAAAAAATCAGAGGTACAAAAAACTCTACGCCAAGCAGAACGAAATTACTGGCAAGAATTTTGCTCAAGACTCAACCGCTTTGTACCAGAATCAGCGGTATGGTCTACCATTAAACGGTTAAAGGGGGTATCTGTCAAAAAAACAAAAAACATGTCAGTCCTGATAGAAAATGAAAAAGAAATCACATGTAACAGTGAAAAGACTGAGGCTTTCTCTAAGTTCTTCCAATCAATTAGTAATGTTAAAGAATGTCCAGAAATAAAAGAAAACAAAAATGTTGAGCAACAAGTCACGAAATCACTGAAGCGGGGAATGGAGCATATCTTGAATGAACCATTCACTCTTTTTGAATTGCAAAAAACTCTAAACACATGTAAACAATCAGCTCCTGGAAAAGACAAGATCCCTTATCAGGTTTACCAAAAACTTCCTCAGAAAGCAAAACAATATATGCTAAAGGTCATGAACTTGATATGGGATACGGGTAGCATACCTCCCAGTCTGAAACACTCTATCCTAATACCTGTGTTAAAACAGAATAAAGACCCCCGAAAGGTATCGTCGTACCGACCCATAGCACTTTCCTCATGTTTTGCCAAGATACTAGAACGGATTGTGAAGAATAGACTCCAATGGTATGTAGAAAAGAACAATATACTTCCTCCCCTCATGACTGGCTTTCGTAGTAAACGTGGGGTCACGGATAACATTGTACTTTTAGAGAATGCTATCCAAAGAAGCATTAATGTTGGTGAATATACTTTAGCAATCTTTCTCGATATTGAAAAGGCATATGACAGACTTTGTATCAAAGGCCTTATTTACAAACTATCAGTACATGGTATTACAGGTAATATGCTCGAGTTTCTCTATAACTATCTGAAAGAGCGGACTTTCCAAGTAAAGATTGGTAAAGAAGAATCAAAATTATATGAAATGTACAACAGCCTCCCCCAGGGGAGTGTCTTAAGTCCTATATTGTATAATATCATGATGAGTGATATTCCAACAGATGAATTAATCACCACATCTATTTATGCTGATGACTGTGTCATCTGGATGTCAGGTAATAACATAGAAATTATTTCAAACAGAATACAGTGCTATCTGAACACATTGAGTGAATGGTTTACTAAATGGGGCTTTCGCCTTTCACAGAGTAAATCCTTTCCAGTGTTATTTACTAAAAACAATAAAGCAAAATACCCAGAACTGAAATTAAACAACGACGCACTTTTATTCCAATCAAAGAAGCATTTCCTAGGACTTATATTTGATAAAAGACTTTCATGGAAGACGCACATAGATGCCGTAGTCCTTAGATGTAAAAAGAAACTGAACATTCTTAGGTGCCTTACTGGGACTACATGGGGAAGCTCCTCGAAATCCCTACTAATGGTATATAGAGCATTGATAAGATCGTTATTAGATTTTGGTTGTGAAGCCTATGACAGTGCGGCTCAAAGTATAAAGAAATCACTTGACTCCATTCAATATCAAGCCTTGAGAATTTGTGCGGGAGCTCTTCCTCTTACATCATTAGATTCACTACAAGTTGAACTAGGTGAAATGCCCTTAGACTTAAGAAGACAGATGCTGGCGGACAGATTCAGACAAAAGACTGAAATGCATCGAGATCACCCTGTCATATTAAACGTTAAGCCCAGCTGGCAAATGGAACTTTTGAAGCTCCAAAAGAATAACAAGCCATTTGGATGCAGAACAGAACTAATGAAACATTGTACTATCGAACCTTACACTATACCTAGTTTCCCCCCTTGGAAAATTAATGCTCCAAAAGTGTCGATAGAATTAAGCGAAATAGTGAACAAACATGAAAACCCATCTTATTTACGTCAACGCAGTTTAGAATTGATCAGTACCAAATGGCCAATACAACTACACATCTATACAGATGGGTCAAAGGTTCCAAGTTTTGGAATAAGTTCTGCTTCTTTTTATGTACCAGCATTCTCCTTTCAACAAGCCAAACGATTGGCGGATCACACCTCATCTTTCAGAGCCGAATTGGCTGCAATTGTCCTTGCGCTTAATTGGCTAGAGAACATTAATGTGTATGTTGGCATTGTTATTTTTTGTGATTCCGTAAGCGCCCTGCTCGCCATAAAGGATGAAAAAGATATTACATTTGTAACTGAAATTATTACATTAAGTACAAAATTATCGTATCAAGGAAAACACATACACTTAGAATGGATTCCTAGCCATTGTGGTGTACACGGAAATGAAATGGCAGATTTTTATGCAAAATCTGCTTTACAAAATAACATTGAAATTTGTAATAAATTATCCTTTTCTGAAATAAAGAGTATTATTACCAGCAAGTATATAAAACTCTGGCAAGACAGATGGAATAATTCTGATAGATCTCTTAGACATATACTGCCTACAGTAAATCAACCATATGAATGTAAGTTGAACAGATTTGAAGAAAGTATTCTCCATAGATTAAGAATAGGAGTGATAGGTTTGAACTTAGATCTCTTCAGATTGAATATACACTCGACAGGCCATTGCAATAACTGCATAGGACGTACTGAAACTGTAAACCACTTTCTCACTGAATGCCCAAAGTACATAATAGAAAGAGCTATGTTACTCGTAGAAACTGATTTATCACATCCACAGGAAATCATGACACTACTTAAACTTTCAGAAATAGTTAAACAAAAAGCAATAGTTCGCTTCGTTTTAAGAACAAAGCGGCTGTATCCAAACAATTAAATTGTTGTTGAGTTTTTTTTTTTTTTTTTTTTTTTTTTCTTCTTATCTTCTCTTATTTCCTTTTTCTTGCACCAATAAAGCCCACAATACTTGTAACTAATTTGACCATTTACTTTTCTAACAATTCGGTGATCACCTCCAACATCACATGCTAGCTGGCACCCCCTCACCTATGCCGGAGTGACCTAGGTTAAAACCGAAAGTCTGCGAAATATACCTCAAAGACTGGTAAGATGGCATTTTGAAAAGGGTGGGGGTAAGTGCGAAGTACACATGTGCATACGTGAGGTGATATTTGAACGCGCACGTGCGCGTAAACACAAGTACGTACGTTTAGTTTTAGTTTATAGGCGTTTTTTATTCACAACTTGCTAGGCCGTCGTCTCTTTCCAAAATTATTAATTTATTGAATTTTCTCTCTAAAAAAAGTTATAGAGTCTAAAAAGAAAAAAAGAGGAAGAAAAGAGGATGGAAGGAGAAAGAATCCTAAAAATAGTCATTTATGACATGAAATTGTACATATATGTATATATATAAATAATTCATAAAATAGTGTGTGGCAAAAATAGTCAACTGTGACTGATTGCCAAACAAAAACAAATCAAGAAGAAGAAGAAGACGGCAGCGAGAGTTTAACACGGCTTGCAAGATTTTCAACATGGATGTCGATTTTGACCGATAATTTCCTTAAAAGGGACCATTAAACGGATTATATCAATCAAGTTAGTAAGTGGAACCGATGTATTATAGCCTAGGCCTAATTTAAAATTGGAAATGAACGAGGTAAAATGACATTTTGGGGGATTTTGGGGGCATAACAATACGGCCGTGGCAAGTTTGTGGGAGGGGCCTAGCGGCTAAAATCTAGCGGAATAAGTTCAACACAGGCTGGCATAGGCAGTCGTTCAGTCTCTATAACCGGAGGTCTAGTGGAGCCAGACGTAGTCTCAGTGGAACAACCGACGATTATAGAGACTGAAGCTTTCGGTCTAGTACAGGGGCTGTTGTGTGGATAGGCACCTGCAGGCAGACTGCTGCTGAAGTACGCCACTATTGAGGGCAAATGAGCTCAATTGAGCTCCTATTTTTCTGACATGCCTCGACAGCATGGTTTATTTCATCTGAGTGCGTGTCTCACGCCTGTAAGAGAGAAATATCAATCTAAGAAGATACCTGAAAAGAGCTTAATGCACGCCCTTCGCACGCCCTTCGCTCAAAGTTTACAAATAGCCTTTCTTCAAGGGCGGATGGCAAAAACCAAATGATATTATATAATTAAAACAAATACCGTATTAATTTTTTTAAAAAAAAAACGTATGTGGGGGGGGGGGGGAGGGGTACTCACATATTAAGACATACGGGGTGTGCCGCTCTAATGGGTCACTTTTCCACCAAAAATCCCTAAACATGGATCCCATTTAAACAAAAATATCCCTAAACATGGGTCCGTTTTTTCAAAATTTCCATGCAAACACCAACAAATTGTAAAACATGGGCTTTATTCTTCGAGAAAAATCCCCCAAATGACTATTAATAAAGTTAGGGGTTTCGAGTGAGCGGCACACCCCCGTCCAAACTAAATCTGAGTACCCCCCCCCCCCGGGGGGGGGGACTTTATTACAAGTGTAAGAATATTTGTCTTGAGACTTTTGATATCTTTCTGAATGTGATTACAAATTTTTTAAAATATTGAATTGATGTGAACAGTCCAAAAGGTTCAAATGTTTTAAACCTAATTGCATGACATGTATTGGACTGATATAAAGTGATTTGAATTGAATAACTGATTTAAAAAGTAAATTAAATTGCATTGTAATCGAACTGAACTTAATGATTTGAATTGAGTATCTACGAGGAAACATGAATGATTTCGTACAATCGTTTGAATGTATATGGTATAGTCAGCCACTGCATTTAAAGCTTGTCAACACTAGTGTGGCTAGGAGGGATTAGACCACACAGCGAGGTCACTGACCACTGGCGTACCTATGGGGGGGGGCAGAGTGCCCCCCCCCTGACGGGCTCCAGGGGGAAAAAAGAAAAAGGGGAAAGAAAAGAAAAGAAAGGAAAGGAAAGAAAAAAAAAAGGAAAAGGGAAGAAAAAAGGAAAGAAAGAGAAAAAAGGAAAAAAAGGAAAGAAAAAAGGAAGAAGAAGAGAAAAGGAAGAAAAAGGGAAAAGAAAAGGAAAAGAATAAAAATGGGGAAATTTATAAAAAAAAAAGACCATGGCCGTACGCGCCAAGGGGGGGGGGGGGGGCAGTTGACCCCAGATATTTTGAAAACGTACAATTTTTTTCCTGAAAATGTAGTGTACGCCTTTAATTACCAAATCCTTCAATTCTACTTTTGAAAATGCAAAAGTACCCTCATGACCAGTTCGGTCGCTCGAACTCCCTTCACTCCTTTTGCTTTTGAGATTCTTCAAAAACTTTTAACGCATCTTTCCCCCTCCCCCACCTGAAAAATATTCCGCATACGGCCCTGAAAAATTAAAACATATGAAAATAGGAAAATATAAGTGATATAACAAATTCGAAACTCTTCGCTGGCGTGAACTGCTTGCTAGCCTATTTTGTATTAAATGTTTTCACTTGCTCGTCCCCCTGAAAAAAGAAAAGGATTAGTATTGCCTAGAATAAAATTGTGCCTGCCCCGACGGGCCCCAACCTGCAACCATGGCAACAATAACACACAATATATGTACCAAATGTTACTAAAAGAGACTAATTCATTTTTCTCGCTCGCTACACTCCCTCGCGAATAAAATGAATAGACATTGCTTTGGAAACAATTGTGCCCACCCTTGACCTGCAACAATATCATTAAAAGTAGGAGAGTTTTTTCGCCCTCTCGCCAAAAAGGAATTGAATCGCGTTAAACGCGATTGCGTCCATCCTGACCTGCACCAATAAAAACAAGTTTATTTATTAATTTTTATTAAAAGAGAATTTATTTTTTTTGCTTGCTCGCTATGCTCGCTCGCCAAAATGGAACTGACACCGCTAACGTTCCCGCCCCAACCTGCAACAACCAGTTAATAATTATGTACCAAACGTTATTCAAAGAAGTTTTGGTGTGCTCGTGCTCGCCAAAACGGAATTAACATCACCTTAGACATGATTGTGTAAGCCCTGCCCTGCAACAAAAAAATCTGAAATTTATGAACCAATTATCATTACAAAAATTTTGCTCGCTCGCTACGCTCGCTCGCCAAAATAGAAATAACACCGCTTTTAATGATCACGTCCCTGACATGGAACAATGAACCCAAGTTTATATATACCATATTTCCCCTATAAAAGAGAAGTGATTTTTTTTGCTCCCTCGCTACGCTCGCTCGCCAAAATAGAAATAACACCGCTTTTAATAATCACGTCCCTGACATGGAACAATGAACCCAAGTTTTATGTACCATATTTTCCCTATAAAAGAGAAGTGATTTTTTTTTTTCGCTCGCTACGCTCGCTTGCTCGTGGAATTATGTGCCCACCACTAACCTGCTACAATATCATTAAAAAGAGAAATGTAGGGGGTTGCCTGCCCGCCAAAATGGGATTGACATTGCCTTTTTAGTAAAACGAGCGTTGAGGGGATCTATCTAATTTCAGGGTAATGATTATTAATATATCGGTAAACATACACCAATTTCTCACTCTAATCAATCTTTGAACATTCACTAGAATTTAGAAAGCTGCATTTATCACCTCTCAATCTCAAGTTATACTAATTAAGTCAAATTCAACCATACAAGATAGTCTTTCATTAAACTACAAAAGAATACAAAAATGTAAAGTTTCACTGAAATTTATAACTGATATTTAATCAATAGACACAAAATCTGTGTACTAAAACATCAACTTGAAAATAACAGGACACACTTCCTGTAGGGCTGTGGTATAAAATCAACGACAATCAAACAACTTGTCGCTAAAAAGAAAAAAAACCAAATATTCTATTTACCTGAAAGTAAAAAGCTAAAACTGTCTGTGGCTGCAGCGAGGTCGATCTCAAATAAATAGTCTAAACAAAGGCTTCTACGGGAATTGTATCTTTAATTGGAGTTTCATTTTCGTTCCAGTAAATTCCGTGAAAACTGTGGATAAATCACAGATAAATAATCATAAGTACAAGTACATCATAGCATAATCAATATAGCAATAACACAGTCTCTATTCTAGTCCATCTGCATTAAATGGCTTTACATAAATACAAACTCACACCAAAAGTATCACAACTAGACTTCACTATAGCATGTTTAAACAATTATCTAAACAATTATAAATTCTGAATCTCTACTTAGTGCTTCAGCACTCTCATAATATATCATCAAAGTATTTAACCATATCTTCACTATCATCATTGTTCTTCATATCAAATCAAATGTACATATTAAACCAGCATGGGCTTGCATGTCTTACACTACATACTAACATCAACATCTCCCAGTATGAAGTACAAAATACACACACTAATTTACACTTTATGTTTCAACAATTCATAGAAATAGATTCAATATACAACAAAACTAACCTCTTTGCCTGACATAATGACAAAACTATGACTGAAATCTCCTTGATGCTCTGGCAAAAAGGGGATTCTTGGACCTCATCACAACCATGTTCTTGTAGCCTTCTGAGAGTTTGATATCAAGTGGTTATCAATAGGTGGCGCTATATTAGGCACCTTGCCTGAGGAAGTGCTATTACAAATATATGTGTGTTCATGTCATGCATCAATAATACAAAAACAAATGACTTGGGTGATAACATATTTAAGTGCAACTGTCACAACATGGCTCCTTTAAATTAAGAATTAATTTACTCTAAGAACGCCATTACAAATAAACAAAATGGTCGACAGCCTCGGCTAAATCTAAAGCATCAGAATACCATTGTAAAGCTTAAAACTTGCATAGCATTATATCTGTCGCGTCGCTTAAATTCAAAATCACACAAGTACGAACAAAGTACTCATGTTATAATACACTGTCCACAAAATGGAATTAAGTACATAATCAAATAGAAGCATTTAAATGGTGAATCTTAGATTATACATCATATTCTTCAAACAGTCCTCCGAAGTCTCTCGGACCCTGAAAAAACAAACAAATGCATAAATTAGATATCAGTATTTTTGACTTGAGTCTGTACTTTGCACATTCACTAAATCAATTCTCGGTGAATTAAAGTTCAAATTAAAGGCAATGTCTGAAGTTTGATAATTTAAGTTATAGTTCGTAAATAAAAGTATCGGTCTTCACAGTCCTGTGGCTCCTTGGCCGGGAATTCTTCCTGGTCTACGTTCGAAACAAGAAGAACTAGCTTGAATAGGGCGATCGAAGTAACTCGAGGTACTCTGTCTCTCCCTCACTCCACCCATGTGGCTCGAAGTAGGTACATTGCATTTGAAGGCAATGAAGTCACACTCCTCTCTCTGAAGAAAGTCCTTCCCTCTTAGGATGTCATCATTGTCCATGAAGGGGTCAAGATGATGCAGGTGACTGGTGGTCTTACAGTGACGTCTTCTTTCTCTTTCATTGTGGCGTCTATCACCCTCTACTGCTGTCATTACATCGAAGGTCTTCCTTTGAGTCAACTTTATGATCTCCCTTTCAGCCTGCAGGAGTTGTTCAGCAGATAGAGGTTCTATCACAACATTCTCGACACCACCTTTCTCTTCTCTCTTGTCCCATCTTGCATAGCAACGTCTAGGTAAGTAAGATCTGAGACGTACACAGTTTGCCACAGCTTTCTTCGCTCGACACCAACTAGAGAGATTATCAAATCGTTCCAACTCGAGCTTGTCTACTTTCTGCACATGGGTCCGACTTTTCACTTCAGGATCTTTAGAAAGATCTACAGCTTCTGGCTTTCCCTCATCTGGAGTGAAGTCGGCCTCTAGAAGTCGATCAACATGAAGAGGTGCTTTCTCTTCCTTCATGGTCGCTGAATGAGTGAAGTTCATTTCTGATCGATGTCCATTTACATGTAGCTGTACCTCATCAGGCACAAATCGTACTGTTGTGTTTGCTTAGGGTCAGCGCATCAGTGCAGCTCTCCAAATCGTGCTCCAATATTCATCAAATTTACTCTGAATTTTTGGCAGAGTCGAGCTGAGATTTTTACATCAGCTTGTAGATCTAAGGCCAGAGATCAGACTAGACAACTTTTGAAGCATGTATGTTGCCTACAAGGAGGATATTTGATGATTATCATTTTTCTGGGATTGATGATATACATGTATACTGATACAAGGAGACTTTTTGCTGGACCATTTTGATACACCAGAGTAAGTTATACTTTTGTGTCTCTGATGGGACAATAGGGAGGATTTAAGGATTACAAGAGTAATCCTTTCACCATGATCAATTTCAATGTCCTCCTGGCTATTATTCTAGGCTTTAGCGTCTGCCTGACTGATTCACAACTGTGCACCATCTATCAGTCAAACCAAGAAGCTTCATTTGGGCAAGCTTTTGTCCGAAAGAACTACATAAAGACTAGAATAGCCTATTATGCAAATAGCCATTCAACTTTTCAACTTGAACTGTTCAAAGCAGGGGACATCAACCCCAACCCTGGACCGACTATAATTGACAGTGACACCTCACAGAAATGTAAACAGTTGTACTACCCTCAACGGACAACATTCACTGGTTCAGAACTACACCGCTTAAAGAACATCACTGGTTATCAGCGACTTCCAAGTGATGTTTATGACAAAGTGAAAGCCCTAGGTATTAGTTGCAAACCTCCAACTAAAAGGGGTACCAGGGGAGGTGTTAAGACGAAAGCCTGGTTAAGGAGTCAACTTTCTGGAACACGACTCGGATCAGTTGTTGATGGAAATGATGAAAGAAAGAAAGTTGCTCACTGTCCGATTCCAGTTCGTGTTCGGCCCCACACTCGAAATTCGTACACGCATGAAAGGCGGAATGGTGTTAACTTCGAGAATCTTAAACTTGTAGAGACTCTATCAAATGCTCCGTCACCTGTAGCACTTCATCTATGGAATGCCAGATCTGTGAGGAATAAAACCACTGAACTATATGACTATGTACTTCAAAATGATGTTGACATCATGGTCATTACAGAGACATGGCTCCGTGAAAGTGATCCTACTGTCATAACCGAATTGTCGCCACCCGATTTTTCCTTTCACAATGTTGCTCGTCATGGTGATGCTCATGGAGGTTTGGGTTTTCTGTTCAGAACTCACCTAGATCTCAGACTGAAGCAGATTGAATTTTCCCCTAAAACTTTTGAATTTGCCTGTGTTGTAGACAGGTGTGAACAGTATCGTATCATTGCCGTATATAGGCCTCCACCTTCTACGACTAATGGCTTTACAGTAAAGGCCTTTCTCGATGAGATTGATGAATTCTTAGGCTTATGTTCAATGTTGGGCAGTCGCGTCATCATTCTCGGGGACTTCAATGTACACGTTGATAAGGCACATCTACCGACCCCACGCCAGTTTCTGGAATCAGTCACTTCATCTGGCTTCTCCCAGCTCGTTGAAGAACCTACTCATGATGGTGATCACACGCTGGACTTGGTCATTACGAAGACTGGAGATGACATAGTCTGCAATTACAACGTCATTGACAAAGGCATGTCAGACCACTTTGTAGTGCGTTGCAATCTGAATATCCAGACACCCCCTTCGAGTACTGACAGAGTGCTTATCAAATCCAGAAACTATCGCCAGATTGACAGTGAGAAGTTTCTAGCTGATCTTTCATCACGTTTTGCGGATTTTCCGGAGAGTGATGTAAACGACATGCTGACTTCCTTGTATGGTGCTGTCCAGGGAGTGCTGAATCAACATTGCCCAGAAACGACGCGAAGACGGAAACAAAGACCATGTGCTCCGTGGTATGATGACAGTGTGATGGCAAGTCGACAACTAAAGAGAGCGCTGGAGTCAAAATGGAGAAAATCCAAACTTGTTTCGGATCGACAGAATTACATTAATCAAAAGAATAAGCTAAATGTTATCATTCAGAAAGCTAAGCGTAATTATTACACAAATGTTATTCTTGAGTCTAACTGCAGGAATATGTTTTCAACGGTCAGTTCATTACTGGGTCGTTCAAAGCATGTCCTCCCAGTGTCCGATGAACCGCTTCGCCTCTGCAATGATTTTGCCAATTTCTTTGAGGGCAAGGTTAGGAGTATCAGACGGTTACTTGATGCACATCCACCTAATCAGCAAACAGTGTGGACTGTTCCAGATCCGGATAATGTTCCTCCTCCTCTTGGTCCAGTAGCGGATGACGACTTACTGCTGGCTTTAACACCAGTCAGCGATGAAGATGTGAAGAGGGTCATAAAGAAGTCTGCAAACAAGTCCTGTGACCTGGATGTCATGCCAACCTGGCTGCTTAAAGCTAATTCAGAGGTAATGGTACCCGTTATCACGTCAATCATAAACTGCTCGTTAGTGAATGGAGTTTTCCCTGACAAACTTAAATATGCAATAGTTTTTCCTCACCTGAAAAAATCTTCGTTGGATTTTTCGGAACTTAAAAACTATAGGCCTGTATCTAATCTTGCTTACATATCCAAGGTGATTGAGCTCGTGGTGTCCTCAAAACTGACAGCCCATGTCGAAGAGCTTAGCTTACAAGATGAATTTCAGTCGGCATACAGGAGACATCATAGTACTGAATCTGCACTAACCCGTGTTAGAAATGATATTCTATGTGAAATTGATAAAAGGCGTGGTGTGATACTAGTTTTATTAGATTTAAGCGCAGCCTTCGATACCATTGACCACGGATTTTTGATTGATAGGCTTTCCTCAGAATTTGGAATACGTGACACGGCTCTGCAGTGGTTTCGGTCGTATCTTAACTGTCGGACCTATCGGGTTCGCATAGATAGCACTTACTCTGATGTTCATACTTTAGATTATGGAGTTCCACAAGGGTCCGTACTCGGCCCGCTCCTTTTTACGCTATACGTCAAACCTTTGGGAAGAATTATTAGTCGCTACGGTCTTAGATATCATATGTATGCTGACGACACACAAATATACACAAGTTTCAACCCCAAAAGTCTTGCAAATTTTCAAGAAGAAATAAGTAAACTGGAACAATGTATCTCTGAAATTAGTATATGGATGACCTTAAATAAACTCAAACTGAACGAAGGAAAGACGGAACTACTGCTGGCCATGTCACCAAAGCTTAGACATCACTTACCGCGTGATATAAGTATAAACATAGGAAATGGTAGAGTACAAATGTCTGACAATGTCAAAAACTTAGGTATTTTCTTTCAATCTTCAATGTCCATGTCTAAACAAATTACTGCTTTGTGTAAATCGCTTAATTTTCATTTGTACAATATTTCTAGAATCAAGAATCTGTTGACCTCTGATGCGTGCCATCATGTCGTAAGATCATTAATCCTCAGTAGAATAGACTATGCCAACTCTCTTTTTTTGAATGCTAATGTGACAGACATTCAAAGATTACAACGAATCCAAAATCGTGCTGCCCGGGTTGTTTTGGGAGGGAGCAGGTATGAATCAGCATCTCCTCTACTTAAGCAATTACACTGGTTAACCGTAAATAACAGAATCATATACAAAGTTTCCCTAATTGTCTACCAATGTTTGAATAATTGTGCACCAATGTATCTGTCTGTGCTTCTACATACTCCTCCTAGACTTCAATACAACCTCCGCTCTTCTAACGACCCCACGCTCCTCCGATTACCACGTATCAATTCAAGATCGGGGGAGTGTAGTTTCTTTTATTATGGCCCCAAAATTTGGAATACCCTCCCTTTCGACCTCCGTACCTCTCCCTCAGTTGAAATTTTCAAGAAAAAACTAAAAACGTACCTCTTCAATAAGTAAATTGTAATTCTAATATTTTTGTTTGTTATTATAATTACTCTTTTATACATGTATTACCTTGTGTTTACTATGTCATTATTTCTGTAAAGCGCTTCGAGCAATTCGTTGGATGTTGCGCTATATAAAAGACAATTGTATGTATGTATATGTATGTATGTATGTGATGGCTCACACCCAAAGGATCGTTGTGATCATCGGCATGCCCTGCCTTTACTGTGCCAACAATGCTCCATCCTAGATCCGTCTGGATCGCGTATGGACCTCTATCATCAGGAGAGTGGATGACAGCACGTGGAGCAAGAGCCTTGGCACAGTCGTAGCCGATCAGGAGTCCTATTTCAACATCTTGAAGAGGAGCTATCATGTCAGCAATCCTGGTCAGATGTCGGAAGGATCTTGCCATGTCAGGAGTAGGGATATGATGTCGATCTGCTGGCATGATGTCTCTCGTGAAGGTAGAAGGGAGGTTGATGATCTTCGTGGAGTCGTTGAATGCTTTCACCTGAAGACCAGTCACCTTTTCACTTGCAGTTCTCTCATTCGCTTTGGTCATGGTAGAAAGTAGCAGGTTTACCTCTGTTCCTTTAATTCCCATCGCCTCCTTAGTTTTCGTGAGAATAAAGGATGTGTCTGATTGTGTGTCCAGCAGAGCATATACTAATCTATCCTTGTGGCAGGACTCATGAGACAGCCACACCGGAACTATCATTGATGACTTTGTAGAATGACTGGAATCAGAATTTGATGCATAGGATGTTGACTCCAAGGTTTCAATGTTATCTCTATCTCTGTTGGTAGCATCCTGTCGTCTTTCTTTCCACTCATCATCATGTAGAACAGTAGGATGCTTCCCTCTGCATGAAGAGCATGTATTTCGCTTGTTACATCTCCTTGATATATGTCCCTTCTCAAGGCAGCCGAAACAGAGTCCATTTTCCATAACGATCTTTCTCTTCTTCTGCATCGTCTCTGAGTTGAAGGAAGAACATTCAGTGAGGTGATGTCGACCCTTGCAGAAGATGCATGAAAAAGTCTCCCTCTCAACAGAGCAATCTCTCTGATTCTGATGATGAGTTTCCGTCTGCATAAAGCTGGAAGTAGCTGATTTCTTGATTTCATTCGAGGTCTGCAGAGATTGAAGAGATGTTACAGGGTCACAAGCTACTATAGCTTCTTCTTCAATGAAGTCGGTAAAAACAGAAAAGGGTGGGAATGTCCCCCACTCTCGCCTCCAATGCACGACCTTCCTGCTCCATTTCACGACCAACCAATCTGGGAGTTTCATCAGTAGCTTCCGCTTTTCTCTTTCATCATCAAGATGACTTAAGTGATGAACATATTTTGAAGCTATGTCACACTGCTTCAAAAAGTCTCCAAGTCTCCTTAGACCAAATGCATCTCTGGAACCCACTCTTGGCCAGGAGTCTAGCTTATCACGATAGGCATTGGATACCACAAATGGATCTCCATATCTTTGCTCCAATACCTTCTTTGCCTCGTTGTATCCTGCAGCATCTCCAATCATGGAATAACCTTGAACCAGGGATCTCGGCTCACCAGTAAGGTACTTTAAAAGAAAGTAGAACCTTTCTTCAATGGGAATTCCTCGATGCTCGATTAAGGCGTCGTAGCTTCTCTTCCATGATGTATACTCAAGCGGATTGCCTGAGAAATGTCCGGGCTCCGGAAGAGGTAGTCTATTCAAGCAGAGCAGCTCCTTCAAACTGCTGGCAAGAACATCTTCATTGCTGGGCTTGTCTGCTGGTTGTTGACTTACTTCATCATCTTTCTGAACTGCAGGCTCCATGGGAGAGACGGGTGCTTGTTCGTTGACCCAATCTCGAACTCTTGGTTTTGGTGAGCGAGAAACAGACTTTGAAGCGTGAGTTCCGCCTTTTAACTGGATAATGATTCTCATGGTCTCTCTCATCAAGGATGAATGCTCCTCTTCCATCTCATCAAGCCTGTCTTCACCATCATCTTCGAGACTTGCTGAAGGAACTAAGTCAGCGAGCACTTCTTGAGTAGCTATGGCTTTGTCCATAGCTTCCTGTACTTTGTTGCGGGATTCTTTAATCACCTCAGCTTGGATGTCGTCTTCTACAATAAGCTCACGATGCTTATTTGCTATTCTACTCCAGAGTCGAATGGCGACTTTCCATGACTTCACTGCGACATCAGCTTGGTGCTTGATACCATTCTCTGTGGGTTTTCTATCCCTTTTGCTCGCTTCTTCTCCTTCAGACATGATGACGGTCTCTAGCTAGTGATGGAAGATTCACTTCTTGGAATGAACCACTCTGCTCGATCTGAAGTCATCACACAGAAGAGTTTTCACTGTGGCTGCAGCGAGGTCGATCTCAAATAAATAGTCTAAACAAAGGCTTCTACGGGAATTGTATCTTTAATTGGAGTTTCATTTTCGTTCCAGTAAATTCCGTGAAAACTGTGGATAAATCACAGATAAATAATCATAAGTACAAGTACATCATAGCATAATCAATATAGCAATAACACAGTCTCTATTCTAGTCCATCTGCATTAAATGGCTTTACATAAATACAAACTCACACCAAAAGTATCACAACTAGACTTCACTATAGCATGTTTAAACAATTATCTAAACAATTATAAATTCTGAATCTCTACTTAGTGCTTCAGCACTCTCATAATATATCATCAAAGTATTTAACCATATCTTCACTATCATCATTGTTCTTCATATCAAATCAAATGTACATATTAAACCAGCATGGGCTTGCATGTCTTACACTACATACTAACATCAACATCTCCCAGTATGAAGTACAAAATACACACACTAATTTACACTTTATGTTTCAACAATTCATAGAAATAGATTCAATATACAACAAAACTAACCTCTTTGCCTGACATAATGACAAAACTATGACTGAAATCTCCTTGATGCTCTGGCAAAAAGGGGATTCTTGGACCTCATCACAACCATGTTCTTGTAGCCTTCTGAGAGTTTGATATCAAGTGGTTATCAATAGGTGGCGCTATATTAGGCACCTTGCCTGAGGAAGTGCTATTACAAATATATGTGTGTTCATGTCATGCATCAATAATACAAAAACAAATGACTTGGGTGATAACATATTTAAGTGCAACTGTCACTACATGGCTCCTTTAAATTAAGAATTAATTTACTCTAAGAACGCCATTACAAATAAACAAAATGGTCGACAGCCTCGGCTAAATCTAAAGCATCAGAATACCATTGTAAAGCTTAAAACTTGCATAGCATTATATCTGTCGCGTCGCTTAAATTCAAAATCACACAAGTACGAACAAAGTACTCATGTTATAATACACTGTCAACAAAATGGAATTAAGTACATAATCAAATAGAAGCATTTAAATGGTGAATCTTAGATTGTACATCATATTCTTCAAACAGTCATCCGAAGTCTCTCGGACCCTGAAAAAAACAAACAAATGCATAAATTAGATATCAGTATTTTTGACTTGAGTCTGTACTTTGCACATTCACTAAATCAATTCTCGGTGAATTAAAGTTCAAATTAAAGGCATTGTCTGAAGTTTGATAATTTAAGTTATAGTTCGTAAATAAAAGTATCGGTCTTCACAGTCCTGTGGCTCCTTGGCCGGGAATTCTTCCTGGTCTACGTTCGAAACAAGAAGAACTAGCTTGAATAGGGCGATCGAAGTAACTCGAGGTACTCTGTCTCTCCCTCACTCCACCCATGTGGCTCGAAGTAGGTACATTGCATTTGAAGGCAATGAAGTCACACTCCTCTCTCTGAAGAAAGTCCTTCCCTCTTAGGATGTCATCATTGTCTATGAAGGGGTCAAGATGATGCAGGTGACTGGTGGTCTTACAGTGACGTCTTCTTTCTCTTTCATTGTGGCGTCTATCACCCTCTACTGCTGTCATTACATCGAAGGTCTTCCTTTGAGTCAACTTTATGATCTCCCTTTCAGCCTGCAGGAGTTGTTCAGCAGATAGAGGTTCTATCACAACATTCTCGACACCACCTTTCTCTTCTCTCTTGTCCCATCTTGCATAGCAACGTCTAGGTAAGTAAGATCTGAGACGTACACAGTTTGCCACAGCTTTCTTCGCTCGACACCAACTAGAGAGATTATCAAATCGTTCCAACTCGAGCTTGTCTACTTTCTGCACATGGGTCCGACTTTTCACTTCAGGATCTTTAGAAAGATCTACAGCTTCTGGCTTTCCCTCATCTGGAGTGAAGTCGGCCTCTAGAAGTCGATCAACATGAAGAGGTGCTTTCTCTTCCTTCATGGTCGCTGAATGAGTGAAGTTCATTTCTGATCGATGTCCATTTACATGTAGCTGTACCTCATCAGGCACAAATCGTACTGTTGTGTGATGGCTCACACCCAAAGGATCGTTGTGATCATCGGCATGCCCTGCCTTTACTGTGCCAACAATGCTCCATCCTAGATCCGTCTGGATCGCGTATGGACCTCTATCATCAGGAGAGTGGATGACAGCACGTGGAGCAAGAGCCTTGGCACAGTCGTAGCCGATCAGGAGTCCTATTTCAACATCTTGAAGAGGAGCTATCATGTCAGCAATCCTGGTCAGATGTCGGAAGGATCTTGCCATGTCAGGAGTAGGGATATGATGTCGATCTGCTGGCATGATGTCTCTCGTGAAGGTAGAAGGGAGGTTGATGATCTTCGTGGAGTCGTTGAATGCTTTCACCTGAAGACCAGTCACCTTTTCACTTGCAGTTCTCTCATTCGCTTTGGTCATGGTAGAAAGTAGCAGGTTTACCTCTGTTCCTTTAATTCCCACCGCCTCCTTAGTTTTCGTGAGAATAAAGGATGTGTCTGATTGTGTGTCCAGCAGAGCATATACTAATCTATCCTTGTGGCAGGACTCATGAGACAGCCACACCGGAACTATCATTGATGACTTTGTAGAATGACTGGAATCAGAATTTGATGCATAGGATGTTGACTCCAAGGTTTCAATGTTATCTCTATCTCTGTTGGTAGCATCCTGTCGTCTTTCTTTCCACTCATCATCATGTAGAACAGTAGGATGCTTCCCTCTGCATGAAGAGCATGTATTTCGCTTGTTACATCTCCTTGATATATGTCCCTTCTCAAGGCAGCCGAAACAGAGTCCATTTTCCATAACGATCTTTCTCTTCTTCTGCATCGTCTCTGAGTTGAAGGAAGAACATTCAGTGAGGTGATGTCGACCCTTGCAGAAGATGCATGAAAAAGTCTCCCTCTCAACAGAGCAATCTCTCTGATTCTGATGATGAGTTTCCGTCTGCATAAAGCTGGAAGTAGCTGATTTCTTGATTTCATTCGAGGTCTGCAGAGATTGAAGAGATGTTACAGGGTCACAAGCTACTATAGCTTCTTCTTCAATGAAGTCGGTAAAAACAGAAAAGGGTGGGAATGTCCCCCACTCTCGCCTCCAATGCACGACCTTCCTGCTCCATTTCACGACCAACCAATCTGGGAGTTTCATCAGTAGCTTCCGCTTTTCTCTTTCATCATCAAGATGACTTAAGTGATGAACATACTTTGAAGCTGTGTCACACTGCTTCAAAAAGTCTCCAAGTCTCCTTAGACCAAATGCATCTCTGGAACCCACTCTTGGCCAGGAGTCTAGCTTATCACGATAGGCATTGGATACCACAAATGGATCTCCATATCTCTGCTCCAATACCTTCTTTGCCTCGTTGTATCCTGCAGCATCTCCAATCATGGAATAACCTTGAACCAGGGATCTCGGCTCACCAGTAAGGTACTTTAAAAGAAAGTAGAACCTTTCTTCAATGGGAATTCCTCGATGCTCGATTAAGGCGTCGTAGCTTCTCTTCCATGATGTATACTCAAGCGGATTGCCTGAGAAATGTCCGGGCTCCGGAAGAGGTAGTCTATTCAAGCAGAGCAGCTCCTTCAAACTGCTGGCAAGAACATCTTCATTGCTGGGCTTGTCTGCTGGTTGTTGACTTACTTCATCATCTTTCTGAACTGCAGGCTCCATGGGAGAGACGGGTGCTTGTTCGTTGACCCAATCTCGAACTCTTGGTTTTGGTGAGCGAGAAACAGACTTTGAAGCGTGAGTTCCGCCTTTTAACTGGATAATGATTCTCATGGTCTCTCTCATCAAGGATGAATGCTCCTCTTCCATCTCATCAAGCCTGTCTTCACCATCATCTTCGAGACTTGCTGAAGGAACTAAGTCAGCGAGCACTTCTTGAGTAGCTATGGCTTTGTCCATAGCTTCCTGTACTTTGTTGCGGGATTCTTTAATCACCTCAGCTTGGATGTCGTCTTCTACAATAAGCTCACGATGCTTATTTGCTATTCTACTCCAGAGTCGAATGGCGACTATCCATGACTTCACTGCGACATCAGCTTGGTGCTTGATACCATTCTCTGTGGGTTTTCTATCCCTTTTGCTCGCTTCTTCTCCTTCAGACATGATGACGGTCTCTAGCTAGTGATGGAAGATTCACTTCTTGGAATGAACCACTCTGCTCGATCTGAAGTCATCACACAGAAGAGTTTTCACTGTGGCTGCAGCGAGGTCGATCTCAAATAAATAGTCTAAACAAAGGCTTCTACGGGAATTGTATCTTTAATTGGAGTTTCATTTTCGTTCCAGTAAATTCCGTGAAAACTGGATAAATCACAGATAAATAATCATAAGTACAAGTACATCATAGCATAATCAATATAGCAATAACACAGTCTCTATTCTAGTCCATCTGCATTAAATGGCTTTACATAAATACAAACTCACACCAAAAGTATCACAACTAGACTTCACTATAGCATGTTTAAACAATTATCTAAACAATTATAAATTCTGAATCTCTACTTAGTGCTTCAGCACTCTCATAATATATCATCAAAGTATTTAACCATATCTTCACTATCATCATTGTTCTTCATATCAAATCAAATGTACATATTAAACCAGCATGGGCTTGCATGTCTTACACTACATACTAACATCAACATCTCCCAGTATGAAGTACAAAATACACACACTAATTTACACTTTATGTTTCAACAATTCATAGAAATAGATTCAATATACAACAAAACTAACCTCTTTGCCTGACATAATGACAAAACTATGACTGAAATCTCCTTGATGCTCTGGCAAAAAGGGGATTCTTGGACCTCATCACAACCATGTTCTTGTAGCCTTCTGAGAGTTTGATATCAAGTGGTTATCAATAGGTGGCGCTATATTAGGCACCTTGCCTGAGGAAGTGCTATTACAAATATATGTGTGTTCATGTCATGCATCAATAATACTAAAACAAATGACTTGGGTGATAACGTATTTAAGTGCAACTGTCACAACACTGTCCTTTAAAATGTGGCTATATATAAATACAATAGTCAGTGACTACTATTACCTTGATGCTGCACTTGCTTAATGCTAGAAAATATTAATGGTATCAGGTTGGTAAAAGAAAAGATGCAAACATACAAGGTATATTGTCTCGGACAATGCTAATGTACTATAACACAAAATTAGTACTTGGAAGCGTTAAATAACAAAATCAACCTTGGTTGAGTCTGATACCAGCCTATAATAATGGCCGAATGTTAATGCCTTAAAATAAATTAATGGACACAAACGAATTGTGAACTATACTAGATCTAGATCTAGAAAGAATCAAGACCTCTAGTTGTCATGCCAAGATTCACACAGTGAACGTACATTTACAAAGGTACGAGATAAGTTCTTCTTGACATGAATGATGGTGATTATTACATAAAATGATCTAGATGTTCTAAACTTGAATTCAATGTGATTGTTGGTATAAAAACATGCACAAGAACAAAATCAATGGTAGTCTATACAAAATAGACTCAGGTTAGATTAACAGTTGTCAACTTCAATGCTTCACTGTGTAACCATGGTAACTACTTAACAGGTAGCTGTAGATCTGGTAGGAGTCTGTGAATCACTCAATGTTATGTGTTTAAATACTAACCAGCAAACTGTGGTCGAAGACGAAGAAACCTGGCTGGCTTGATTGTTCTCGCCAAGTAAAATACTGTAAAGACGTGTCGATCGCGAGTAGCCCCACGCCCACGAGTTGCTGCTAGCGTAGTGAACGTGAAGTATTCAAGCTCTGTGGGTGAACGCTACACTGGAAGAAAATCCGATGAAGAAAGACACTAATTGATCCTTACTCTGGTCGTTGAAAGTGGAGGTTCCATGAAGTTCACGTAGATCTAGCTGCAATCTGCACAAACTAATTGTTGAATGGGAAACTTCCCAGGATGAAGTTCACGTATGTAGCTACAATGCAGTCCACACACAAAGTGACTGTTGAACGGGAGCCATCTCACATAACTGACAAATGCTATAACCCATAGGCTATGCGAAGGCGAGGTCAGATCTTGGTTGAAATCGTTATGACGAAAAGTTGCGTTGAAAAACACGAAGATCAAATGTCCAACTGAATAAATCTCGTATCAGGCCCAAGCAAGAGTTGCTATGCACCTCACTGAAGTAGTAAACTGAAATTTGGGCACTGACAAGTTGAAAAAGTCATCAAAAGTAGTCAAGTATGACCAAGAGCACAAAACATTAGGGCTCTCAACTTTGGGCGAGAGATGGACGGTGTCAAAAACATGCACAAAAACGCATTGAATCTAAAAACGTGGTTATTGTTTACATTCTATACGCACTATCAATACTAATTAGAAAATAAACAAGAACATTAATCAAATACTCAATAATACCTTAACATAGTATATTCTAATAAATGATGATTCAGAGTATAATTTTGGTGATAATACTCTGTATCAAAAATGTGTACTTGTAAACAGAAATATTATACTTAAACAAATATTAGCACCTCTTAATCAAAACATGAATATTCATTAAAAATGACGTCAGTTAACGAAAGTGCTACACCTTAAACACGATTGTGCCCGCCCCCTACCTGCAACAATGAAACAAATTTTATATAGCAATTCATTGAGAGAAAGATGTATTTTCGCTCGCTAGCTAAAATGGGTATAAAATCACCCTAAACACAATATTGTTCCCGCGCCCTGCATGGGACAATTGAACCAAGTTTAAGTGGCAATTCTTAAAAAAGAAGTGATTTTTTTCTTGCTCGCTACACTCGTTTGCAAAAAAATTAAATTAACGTCGCTAACAAGTGAATGTTCCCACCCCAACTTGCAACAATACCAGTTTATATACCAAATGTTACTTAAAGATTTTGTTTTGCTCGCTCGCTCGCCAGAAGTGAAAATTAGCATCGCCTTTTTTTGTTTGTTTCGGTCGCTTGCCCCCCCTGACGGAGTATCCCAGGTACGCCACTGTCACTGACAGGTGGCTATCTCATCAACTCAGCTCTCAAATAACATAAGAAATAGAGGATCATAGGGGACCAACATGCACCGATTAGGGAAGTTTTCTATATAGAGGGAGCAAGTAGCTACAAGTAGGACAGTGTGGCTTTAAACATGACAGCCATTCAATAACCAGAGAAAATGAAAGACAATTGCAATTAAACTATTGGCAAGAAATATGTGCTTAAGTTAAAGATAGAATAACCACACAATAATTATGATACAGAAATACATTCTGTGATGCTAGCATTACTATTTAACATAGATATCCAAAACATATCTGGAAAGTACATTTTAATGCAATGACTTCTCACCATGGGGCTATATATTGGTCAGTATTAACAAAAAAAAATCGTGAACTTTCAGAATGCGTCTTTCAAAGAAAGAGCCCCTATTATGAGCTCGTTTGTGAGCGTTGAAAATATTCATATCGATCAACATATTTGTTTTTCCTCCGGGAGGCGAGAGTCTAGCGATAAGTACAAATTAATGCTTATGGATTCGAATAAGGGGTATAGGTACGGTCAAACGGTAGTGAGCAATAATTTTTTTCCTTGTAATAATCTTGTATTCAACAAAAACAACAACAACATCAACATATACTTCAATGAGGTTTATATGATTGTAATATAACAATTTCATATTTTTTTCCTTAACAGTATTAATCGATGGAGCATTTTTTTTTATTTCATTACTTAAAGAATTCCAAAACTTTGGACCTCCATATAAAATATTTTTTGAGCTAAGAGGGTCCGTAAAAGAGGTAAATGAAAATCGTCCGAATGTCATGTTTTAATTATGAACTGAGCTATTTATAAAAAAACATTTCTTGAAAAGAAGATGGCATATCATATTATTTTTATATTAGGCCTATATAAATTGACCTAGTTGGAAAAAAATGTAAGTCTTTTACCTTTAGTATCTTATTTTCAAAAAATCTGTATGGGAGCGAAAGGGGGAATTACAAATAATACGAATGATCTTCTTTTGTAATAACAACACTTCATCTAATGACGTTTGACGTGTGTTACCCCCCCCCCCCCCCAAAAAAAAAAAAAATAAATAAAAAAATAAATAAATAAATAAATAATAATAATAATTAGATACCATAGTTCAAGTATGGGAGTTAAAAAGAACTATAAATCATATAGGAATTAAGAGGAAGACATGTCTTTACTTTGTAAATAATACGAATAATTCGGGAAATGATTTTAAAAATATTGTCGATGTGATTTTTCCAAGAAAGCTTTTTGTCAACCGTTACACCCGAAAATGTATTAAAGGTAAAGACCAGTTATGGTCATGCGATTGCATTGTGAAAGAAACGTTGTGGAATCGATCAGAAAAGGTTGATCATGTAGCATCTAGCATCTGCAAGGTTCTGGAATCATCAAAATGATAAGAAATTTGGCCCATTCTTTGTAAAGTTACAAGCACTATACACAGAAAGATGTATATGGGACTACCCTATATCTCTCACAGACCATGAGAGAAACAAATTTACCAAATATATTAATTAGTAGGCGGTTTCCCGGCAATTTTTTTTATCATCATGTATTAGTCAAAACATATTCTTTCACATGATTGGTAATGAGAGCTTCCATTTCATTTTTTTAAATTGGGGCGTTTCCAATACTGGTCTTTACCTTTAAATGAAAGGAATGAAACACACTCCACTTGGTATCTTGATTGCCATTCTTTTCCACCGTATGTCTGCATAATGTGAGTATGTGTGTGTGTGATGTATGTACGTATGTGAGTATGAGTGTGTTGTATGTAAAAATGTACTTGCATATCACTGCCAAATCCGCAATAATTTGAAGTTGGGCGGACGACGGTATGCAACTAGGCGCCATCTTGATTGTGTCTGAAGCACACATTAGGAGTAGATATTGATGAATTATTATTCTTCCGAAAAATGTTTCATTATCAAAGGAGTCTCGATCTGCGTTGTCAACGTTCTTTTGGAATTCACATTACGACGGTTAGAATAGCAGCTGGCGTATAGCTTAGGTGAGATTGAATTTTTTGTGTGTCGATTTGATGGAGTATGACAAAATGTGGGATTTTAAACACGGAAGTAAGATGAAACGAGTGTGTGTGGGTAGTACGTAGACTATGTGGTTTGTGGTGTATTTCTAGGTTTGTAAGAAGTGTTGTAATGGCAAACAGGAGGAGAAAACAAGGTGATATGATGTGGATGAAGCGGAATGAAGCAGTGTATTTTACCTCTATTTTCTTCTATATAAACTGAGGCTTTAAAGCTGAATAGACCCCCTCCCGCGCGAAGCGCGAAAGCTTTAAGGTTTCATCAAATTATAAGAGAAAGAAGACGATTCGCTGTACCGTCCTCGACTCTTAATCTTTGTTTGAATCAAGTTCCCCTGCCTACGCGCGTAGCGCGGAAGCTCTGAAGCTTTATTAGATTATTAAAGAAATAAGACGATTCGTTGTACCATTCTCGACTCTTAATCCTTATCTAAATTCAGTTTCTTTTGACATTTCATTAGAGAAAGAAGACAATTCGCTGTACCGTCCTCGACTCTTAATCCTTTTTTGTATCAAGTTCCCCTTCCTCCGCGGAAGCTGTAGCGCGGAAGCTCTGAGTTTTATTAGATTATTAAAGAAAGAAGAAGATTCGTTGTACCATTCTCGATCGACTCTTAATCCTTGTCTGAATTCAGCCCCCCCCCCCCTCCTACCCTCCCGCGGAAGCTTTGACGTTTCATAAATTATTAGAGAAAGAAGACGATTTGTTGTACCGTTCTCGACTCTTAATCTTTATCTGAATTCAGTCCCTCCCCCCCCCCTCCCGCGCGAAGCGCGGAAGCTTAGACGTTTTATTAAACTATTAGAGAAAGAAGACGATTCGTTGTACCGTTCTCGACTCTTAATTCTTTTTCTTTCTACGTCCTCGTCCTTTCTTCTTTTTTTCTCCCTTTTTTTTTTGGCCGGTGTTTTGGCGTTTTTTTTTTGGGGGGGGGGGGGGCGACCGCCCCCATCGCCCCCTGGCTACGCACCTGTTCTTCCATGGGGTCCAAGATGAGCCAATGTGGACTCTGTGACGAATTCGAATTCGCAAATAATGTTGTCGACAATCAAACCTAACTGCAAAGCATGATGCTTAAGCAACATCTTGTATGGTGTATAAAGTGAAACAAATAATGAAATCATCCCTGATAGTTGTAATCACAATGTAGGGGTATATACCAATATCAAAAACTTGTATATTTTCGCTTTGAGCTTTTCCTTTGCAGGTGCCCTTTTTCCCCAGAAAGTGCCCCCCCCCCCCCACTCTGAAAGTCCCTCGGCCGCCCCTGAGTTACATACATGGATCTAGTGCCTCTTGAACATAAGCTGTTTGTATGTACATAAACAAGCAATACAACAGAATACTCCAGTTCGATATTTTGGAGAAAGATTATTATGTCACAACTTATTATTTGTTGTTGTTGAAAAGCTGATGTAGGTCTATGTATTGTATTCAAACATAACAGGCATAAGATAGTTAAGGTGTTTTTTTAAGATTAGAATGTTATTTAGTTTGAAGTTTTGTTCATAACACCCTTCCAACAATAATTCACCTTCTAAGACTGGTTACAGTTTTTGAATAAAAAAATAGTGCTCTGGTCAGGGCCTTAGGGGAATATTATGCTTATATTTTAGAGCGTATCTGGTATATCTGGGTGAAGAAGGAGATAATGGAAGTTTGTTGTTAGGTAGTTGGAACGTAAGTTTTATATTATGTTTTTAAGAAACAGACAGTTTGTATGAGATCAGGAGTGGAAATTTTCTGTCATTTGAGAACCAAATTTTGCATCAGTGATATTTTTTTTCATTGAATTGAGTTTCCGCAGAGAGGATTCAGTTGGTTTAATTAAAGAAGGAAGAGAGTCAAATTAAGAACCAAAAGCAATATGTTTTTCATTTATTAATTAGAACTTTGTTTTTTGAGATCTCCTTACACAGAATATTGGAATGGGTTTTTTCACGATGAATGTTGTTTGGAGACATCAATATTCATAAAATGTATGTTTCTATCACCAGGAAATAAAGAATTTTCTGTCTACATGAACATTTCCTGGTTGCTTATTAATGCATTTGCCCACTGGTAACATAATACTTTTACAAGTTGATATCCCTCACCTTTGGATTTTTTTTGTGTGGTAATGTCTAAATTTCGTTTAAAAATAGATGATATCAGTCTGGTAGGCCTACACTGCAGGCAAGAGTCAGGACTAACATTTAGCATGTTATTGATTTTATTACCACTCTTATATTCTCTGAAATGTTATCTTTATTGAGGGTGACTTGAAAAAAGTTAATAACTTGGAGGGGAGGGGGTGCAAACTGCCACACGCTTCTACCTCTTGGTTGCTTTGATCCATTGCCGAAAATATTTTGGCACCTATCATCCCCCCCAACCACGGATACAAATCGACACCATATCTCTATTTGTTTTTCTCTCCCCCTCGTGTGTATACATGTATTTCTGATAATCTAGATTTCGATGTTTTAACATATTAATGACATCGCAAACATAATTATGTTTGTATTCATTAAATCTATTTTTCAATACCCCAATTCCTTTGCGTGCACAACATAGTAGTTAAGCATTTTTCATTGTCAAGTAGAACTGCAATCACAGCCTTGACGACTGCGTCTCTACGTGTCAAACGAAAGCATATGGCTCCGAATAGTCTCATTGGACAACGCGGAAATGGTGTGTTGAGGAGGGGAAGTGAGAGTGTTCATGCGTGTGGTAATTGTATAGACATATACAATTACCACACGCATGAACACTCTCATTGTGTCAACAATTAACGACTATCACATGACAGATGGCTAATCATAAATCTACAATGACGAGTAAACTGTACATCACAGTCCACAGATATATGTGTCTTGAACGTATATAGCAGACGGCAATCGGCGGATCAGACGACCCCGGCCCCCCCACTCAGGTTTCGAAATGACCGCATGCGTGTTGCCAAAATGTCCAGTAAAGGGGTACTTTTCGTGCGACAAAGTCCGGCCCGAGAATTGTAAAAAAGGGGTGTTTTTTCTTTTTTTCTCTCATCTCTTTGGACTCCTGAGAAATTATTCCGAATTTAGGGGGGTACATTGAGCATTTTTCCTGATTTAGGGGGGTCTCCAAGGCAGGAAAAGCCCGCGAAAGGGGGGTTCGGAAATGTTGGCAGTCCTCAGATAGGGGGTGCTTTCAAAAAGAGGGAACGAGCATATGCGTACCCTAAATAACACTGAGTGGGGGGGGGGGGCCGGGCAGACGACACTTGATAGTGATTTTGTATGTGAGATTGCTTTGCTAAATATAAAATACAAAAACCTTTTCCAGTGTGTGTGTGTAATTGGGTTTTTACAGACGTGTATCAATCAGATATGATTATTTACGTCTGGGGACCGACTTTTAACGTCACCATCCGAAAGACGTGACTCAGTTTCGAACCTGCGTTCTCGGCTGAATCAGTTTGTAACTTCCACTGTTAGCTGGATTACAGGCGCACGCCACAACGCCTAGCTTTTCCATATCTTTAAACTACCATAATATGACATTGATATCTGATAATTAAGCAGTTAGTAAAATAAACCTACGAAACTACATAATACAATAAAATACTTGACTGAAAATAGGGGAGTTTGAAGTCTTTCGTCTATGGCTGTCTTTTAATCCCCTTGAGAACTTAGTTCGGTGTGGACAATAGCAGTGGTCATCATTGTTATCAACTTTTAAATGTAGGGGGACAATGTTTCAGACCACCCCAACTAATTTTGTCAGACCACCCCAACTAATTTCTTGGAGAGCGATATACGAGATCTCCCTTCACTCCCCCCCCCCCCTATTCAGAGGCGACGCTCGGGGGGAGGGGAGGGGCTCCCTAATTTTCAATTACCCCCAAAGTGCACCCTTTTACATATTAAAGTGCCCTTTTTATTTTTGAAAAGTGCCCTATTACTTTTCACCTATGATAAGTGCCCCTTTTGTTTTGACACGTACCCCTTTTCCTTCGACAAGGCCCCATTTTCCTTTGCTATAAGTGTCCATCGTCCGTTCTCGTAAGTGCCCCTTTTCACTTTTGATAAGTGCCCCCTTCACCTCTGATTATTACCCTATTCAAATTTGGGAGGTGCCCCTTTTACTTTGACAAGCGCCCCTTTTCCTTTGTTTACAGTGCTCCTTCCCCCTTTTAACTCCGAAAAGCGCACCTTTTTTCTTCACATGTGGCCCTTTTCTTTTCGAATAAGTGCCCCTTTTCCTTATGATAAGTGCCCCCATTAAAAAAAGAGCTCCGTCCCCTTGTCATAAGTACTCCTCTTCATATCTGGTCAGTGACCCTTTTCAGGTGCGATAAGTGCCCCCTTTTCCCTTCTAGTAAGGGACCAATCCCCATTTTCATAAATGCCGTTTTTCACCTATTGTAAATGCCCCTTTTCCTTTCTATAGGGACCAATCCCCCTTTTCATAAATGCCGCTTTTCACCTCTTGTAAATGCCCCTATCAAAATATGATGAGACCCCATTTCCGTCGACAAATACCCATTTACAATTCTCACAAGTGCCTCTTTTGTAATCCCTGGTGAGTGCCTCTTTTCAGGTATATGAAGTGTCCCATTTTTACCTATGATAACTTCCCTTTGTTGTTTGACACGTGCTCCTGTCCTTTTCTAATAGGTGTCCGTAAACGTACCCCTATGTTAAAGCGACTAAGAGCAATTACCCCCCCCCCCCCCCCAAAGCTCGTTCGCCTCACTCACTCGCATTTATAGCTGATATATTTATGTTACTTATCAAAATTCTTTTTAGGCTTCTGATGTGAGTAGGACTTATGATAATGTGCTTCTATCTCCATCAGGATTGGGCTTTTTCCTCTTCATAAGATGTAATTTTCGCACGGCGACCTCACAAATCTCAATTTTTTTTCTCCAGAAAGTGCCCTTTTTTTGTTGGTGCCCTCCCTTCTTTGGAAGTCGCTCCGCCACTCCGCACCACCCTCAGTCACGACTCATTTGTCTTTACCGCTACATATTCAGTGACTGGCGACAATTTGTGCCGCCAGCTTTTGTTTTCCCGGCACAAATTGTCGCTAGGGAGGCGAAAATTTGAACTCAGCAAGACCGGCACAAATTATTGTCGTCGTCGACAACTTGTGCCGCAACGGGTGAACCATATTGTGCCTTCTTCCAAAAATGAAACTAAATCGAAGGCGTTGGTCATGTTAGTGGTTCCTGCCTGCAGGCACGTAGCCAGAGTTTGATGTTTGGGGGGGGGGCACATACATGTACTCGATCGACGTCCTGGGGAGGGGTCTAAAAAAGTTCATCCGATCAAGCAAATTTTGGGGAGCACGTGAGATTTGAGAAACAAAGATTTCCAACCGATCGACTCATGTTTTGGCACCTAAAGGGCAATGCAACACCTATTTTTTTTTTTGGGGGGCCCTATATTTCATTGTTGTGCTGCAACTCATGATTGTTTTAAAGTGAATGCCATTAGTGATATTAGAACCAATTACGGTATTTTATAAAACCAGACGTATCATTGAGAGATGCAGGCTTAATATATTTACCTACGTGACATCTATTGTATACGGTGTTAGTTATGTTTACGAAGCATTTAGATTATATTATGGTCGTGTTATTATAATAATAGTGGGTTCTTGTATAGCGCTCATGTCAGTCAGATTTGACCCTCCTGGCGCTCCCGATTATGTAGTAGAAGTAGAAAATCGTTATATATTCATACTAAGTCAGGTTAAACCAACTAGTGTGAACACACCTCATAATATGTGTATGATTAATGTGAGATGTATAGTGACGAGTTCATACCCCTACTATACTAGTGGAGCGAGTAGTAGTAGAGTTAATCCTGATACCAATTCAATAGTCTGTGCATTGGGAGAAGTTTCTCCTGTTTTTATCAGAGATAACTGGTGACATGTCATGACTTATGGCTTTTGGTCAGCGGTAGTCCACCAACAAAAGAGAGAATTTGGTTTTGTAGTACAAGTTTCAGGTCTTGATAAATGAGTTTGTTATGTATTTGTAGTTTCTAACTCTAAATCCCTTTCTCTTTCTCTCGTCTCTCTCTCTCTCTCTCTCTCTCTTTTATTCCCTTTCATAACTGGTTTTCTCTCTTTTGCTGTTTAATATCATATGTGAAGACTGAGTGTGATTTTGTTTGAATATATTCCTTGTATCTTTTATTATACTTTTGTCACTGCATATAGAGAAGAGTTTTGCTAGAATTGAGAAAGTAATTTTGTATTATTTCAGAAAAGGATTTTAGGGTTAATGCGACTATAGACAGGTCGGGAAATTAGAGAAAGTTGGGTTAATGTGTAAAAAGACACAAAACGACTTTAAACTAGTTCACATTGGTCTATAATTACAGTGAGCCGTGTTCGGATTAGAATATAAGCAGCCAGATGTCTATGCCAATGTTGTTTATGAATTTAGAGTAGCTGTGTTCATATTCATATTTAATCCGTATTACATGTACTTGTATTTAGTCTCATTATTATACAGTTATTGACTGGCAGGGGGTGTAATATAACATTCTTTGGACCTGAAGGGAGTTACATTCCCAAGTGGTTATATTTTCCCGAAGCGCGCATCGCTGAGGGAAATATGGTCACGAGGGAAAAATATAACTCTCTTCAGGTCCAAAGAATGTTATATACCCCCTGCCAGTCAATAACTGTTATATTAGATAGCCTTGGGTTTTTTTTTATTTGGGGGGGGGGGGGGGTCCATTTTTTTTGTTGCCCGAAATTTTAATTTTTTTCGGGGACAATCAAAATTACGGGAAAATAATCTGTCGAGACAGTTCAAGAAAAGAAAAAAACTTTTTTTTTTAAATTATAAAAAAAAATTGGGGAAAAAAAAAATTGAAAAAAAAAAAAAAAAATGATTTTTTTTTTTTTTTTTTTTTTTTTTTTTTACCCCAAAAAACATTTTTTGGGGAAAAAAGAAAATGTGGAAAAAGTAATTTTCAAGGGTAAAAAAAATTCGAAAAAAAGAAAATGGGGGAAAAATAAAATAAATAAATAGACGAAAGTTGTCAATGCAAAGAAGAATAGGAATTTAGAACGTGAACGTAAACTAGGCATTGACGAAAGGTCGTCAATGTAATACAAATTCAGATTGAGAACGAGCACAAGGCATTGATGGAAAGTCGTCAACAAAAATTAGGCAATCATAATTATGCTATAACACAATTCCTAAACCCATCATTCATAGCTTTTTCCAGGCATCAGCGCCTTCTTCAAGAAGTTTTAAATTCTTTCTAACGATAAGTGCTTTGTGTAAAATTGGGCAGCATAGGTTGATACTAAACTATTCAGATGATGAGCGACATCTCTTAAAGGTGATTAAATGTGGATGCGTTGGTCAATATCAGTGGGCAGCTTTAGTCGTGTTCACAATACTGTAAAGGTTCTAAAACATGCATAGCATACAAGGACACATTGAGTGTAGACAGAATATCTTATCCAATGAATTAGCAGGAATATTAGAGATGGAATTTCAACCCCAAAAATGGACATTCTTGCAAAGCAAGGACATGCTATAGATTGTATGTTTGGAAGCCAGATTCTGAACTATAAATAGGATACAGTGCTCGTGAACATGAAGACACTTTAACAACCTTTGCCATTCAAGATATGAAATTACTTGTATGCAGTTCTCCTGCTTTCAATCTAGAACCCTCTCCATAGTATTTTGTGCAATTGCTATTGAGTAGCTGAAATACCCTGCCAAAATAAGTATGTTTCTTCAAAGAGATATTTTTCTTAGTTGAAATATTTTGTGAGATTTTGCCAGATGCTAAATTATGTTGAAGACAGTCGTATATCTCTCTACATTGTAGATAATCTTCCCTTTAATGAAGAAAAGGATAAAGCCCCTGGTAGGTAGTCAAATGGACAAAGTTACCAGAAGAATGTGGACCTCACATAATGGGTTCTATTCCCTGCGGTTGGAAAAAAAAATAAGCCTACCTTTGATGCTTGAGCACTGTATCATGGAAACTTGGTTTATGCCTAGGTAATAGTGGTTTTTAGAGGTTTGAGCTGAACCATTACTATTGTCTCTCTGTATCTCTTTGCAGTCAGAATGCCTCCCATACATGAGGCTGCCCGGATAGGCAAACCAGTCCAGATCATCACCACCACTGATAATCATTCCTTTGAGTTGAACCATGAAGCCTTAAAGAAGCTGCTTCTCAATGAGGATGTAAGACACAAGAATGTGTGTGTCGTCTCAGTTGCAGGAGCGTTTAGGAAAGGGAAGTCATTCCTCCTAGACTTCATGCTCAGATACCTCAACAAGCAAGTAAGTCAGTTGCCCATAAATGTACGTATGAAAAAGTAGTACTTCTCTGATTCTTGTTTTATAGTGTTACTGGCTTTCATAGAACCTAAGTAGAGGTATGTCAGATGTTTCTTTCAGCTGCGAAACAGTATGATAAAAGAAGCTTCAAATGCATTCAGAATCGAGGTCGTTGTGAATGATAATTTCAGACTTAATTTTTTTTATCCACGTATAATGCAGACCCTTTTAATTCTTATGTTCACGATGGATAAGACATAAAATTTGATTCGAATCAAAATGTTTGTCGAGACTTATGTCGTATTTTTCCGGTTTTTGCTGATTGCTCATATTCACAGGAATTTGATAATCCTCTGTTGTATCTTATTCTCAGAACTTTCATATTTTATACAGTCATGTTAACTTGTGATTTGTCACTCCCTTGTACAAACCCTTTGTGGAATCTACGTAAGGGGGTATCTCACTAAGCGGCAAATTTAGGTTTCGCCACAGTTTGTAAAAGTTGGCAAACGTTTCGTAAAGGTTACAAGAAAGTTCGCATACAGTTTTCATTGTCGCAAACAGTTTTTCTTGTCGCAAGAAATTTAGAACATATCTCACTGAGCGGCGAATGCTTGAGAACGTAGGGAATTTGGGTTTTGGCCAGGGTGAGTAAAAGGTTGCAAAAGGTTGCAGGAAAGTTCTCAAACATTTTTCATTTTCGCAAAAATTCGCTGAAATGTTGCTAATTGTCGCTAAACGTCACTAAAAGTCGCTGATTTTCGCTAGAAAAGTTGGCGAATCGAAATTCGCAACGTTCGTAAGGGGGGGGGATGGGTGTGGGGGTGCGACACCCCCCCCCGCCCCCCTCCACTTGTCAGAATATTGTCGATAAAATTGCGCTGCCGTCGGGAAAAAAGAGAAAAGGGGGAGGGGAAAAAAGAGAGGGAAAGGGAAAGAAAGAAAAAAGAAAAGGAAAAGAAAAGAAAGAAAGGAAAAGAAAGGAAAGAAAGGAAAGAAAGGGTGTACATACTTTCATGTTCCTTCATGTAATGTTTTATCTATCAGGGATCAAAGGATTGGCTTGGACCAGAAGACCAACCGTTAGCAGGATTTCCCTGGAGGGGAGGTACTGAGAGGGAAACCACAGGGATCTGGGCTTGGAGTAAAGTATTCCTATGTCCTGGACCAGATGGTGAAGAGGTAAGGTTATTCAGAAACACCATACTTGAATGATGTCATCTCTTTTTCATAAATGTGTGCCTGACAGGCAGGCATGCCATATTAGAGCTACAGATTTTATACCATATAGTGATGTACTTTGTTACTTTCTCCAATCACTCATGTGACAGATTGTGGAAAAGAAATAATGTGATCCTTAAATATTCTCAATCAATCATTGTATCCTGAAATAAATATAATTTGTCTTAAATGATTTTGAATGCACAATTCAGTCTTTGGTTTTAAAGCACTGTCAAAATTAAATCCCTGTATTCAGTCTATGGAAATGTGTAGATTCGGTGAGCTATGAGTTATTTTTATAAACTTATTAACACATAACATGAAGCATGTTTAGTTACCATCTAAAATTATTTTATTTGTTCATATGATTATGAACAGCAACAACAATTGGGCATGTTGACATCCATTAGCATTGCCTGGTAGTCTAAAGTTCAATGTTGACCGCAAAGATGGATAATTATTTAATAAAATCTTATTGAAGAATAATTGAGTAAATTCTGTTCTTATAGTCTGAATACTAAATTCTGGAGGTTACAATATAATGGGATACAAAAAATAATTACAGTCTTTACACAGTGCTTCACAATAATTAAACAAAAGCAGCAATAAATAAATTTATCTTTATGGTATCATGAAAAAATGGGCATATTTTATATTGACCTAAACACATTACTATTGATATATTCCTATAATGAAACTTTGTAATGCAGGGTGGATTTTTTAAACCCATTTTTTTTTTTGGGGGGGGGGGGGGGCGGCGGTGAATTCATGGGGAATAGAAGTAGGTGCAGAATAGAAGTAGGTACAGATTCTTTTCAGTGGTGTAAACAATTGATTTAATGAAGAACTAGATTAGTTTTTACATTACATGTAACTACACATGTAGGATAGCTTCTAGTGAAGACCTAGAACTTAAATCTGGAATGAATAGTGTCTGAATTACAAGTTAAATGGATCCCAAACCTGCCTAATATAGGATTTAGATGTAAACCTAGTTAAAACGTATCTGTTAAAAATAATTTCAAAACATGATATTGTATACATTACTTTTCTGCCATGGTTCTCATAACTTAATGGTTAGTAAATTGATTAATTAGAAATAGACACATGCATATGTGCAAATTTGAGTTGCTTAAAAAAAAATTAAAAAAAGATTTTATGTATGTATAACCAGTATTTGAAAGTGAAAGTTAAACTTGTTATTATTTGTAGGTTGCAGTGATCTTAATGGACACACAGGGAGCCTTTGATTCAGGGTCAACTGTCGAAGAATGCGCTAAGATGTTTGCTCTAAGTATCATGAATAGCTCACATCAGGTGAGTTGGTTGGTTGCTGTACAACTTATATGCTCATTCAGATATGACGTGGTAAAACTACGGCAGTTTTTTTTAAATTATTTTTGTCATGCAATGTGCTTCTTATTTCTGTATCTTATAACACAGTGTTCAATGAATATGCAAGTCCTGCAATGCACGTAGTTTCCTTTCATTTACATGTTTAAAAAAATATCTGATAAACCTTTTAAAGGCCCTATCCTACTGAGCGGCGAATGCTTGCGAACGTAGCGAATTTGGATTCGCCAACTTTTCTGACGAATGTTGGCGAAAATCGGCGACTTTTAGTGACGTTTAGCGACCATAAGCAACATTTGAGCGAATGTTTCTGAAAGTGTTTGCGAAAGGCAGTTGGCGACTATAAGCGAATGTAAGCAAATGTTAGCGACAGTTTTTGCGAAGATTAGCAAGTATTTGCCAATCATTTGCCACTATTTCGTCCCTATTTTCACGAAGTGACGGTAGTGAATGGTAATCCCATACAATTTGTGTGCGGAATTTCCTCACTACCGTCACTTCGTGAAAACAGGAACGAAATTTTGTGAACGTTTGAGACCTTTTGAGAACTCCTGGTACTCGATTTTATAAAGGAACCATATGGTAACGTGGTCGCTAGCATTGGCGAAACAAAGAGAACCGACGATAACAAAGAGCGACGCCGTCTTACAACCGTTTGCAAAGGCTAAAGATTGGTTTGCAAAGGCTTACGACTGTTTTGCAAACGTCTGCAATTGTTTGCGAAACAATAAAGTCGCAGAGAAATTTTGAACACGTTCAACATTTCTTTGCGACAAGAAAAACTGTTTGCGACAATGAAAACTGTTTGCGAACTTTCTTGCAACCTTTTGCAAACTTTTTCGAACCCTGGCGAAACCCTAAAAGGCCTATCTCACGGAGCGGCGAATGCTTGCGAACGTAGCGAATTTGGGGTTTCGCCAGAGTTTGTAAAATGTTGTATAAGGTTGCAAGAAAGATCGCAAACAGTTTTCTTTGTTGTAAACAGTTTTTCTTGTCGCAAAGAAAGAACATGTTCAAAATTTCTTTGCGAATTTATTTTTCCGTAAACAGTTGCAGGCGTTTGCAAAACAGTCGTTAGCGTTTGCAAAACAGTCGTAAGCCTTTGCAAACGGTTGTTAAACGGTTTTGCTCTTTGTTTTCGTCAGTTCTCTGTGTTTCGCCAAAGCTAGCGACCACGTTACCAAATGGTTCCTTTATAAAATCGACCCATTGAGTACCAGTAGTTAGCAAAAGGTCTCAAACGTTCACAAATAGTGGCAAAGGATTGGCAAATAGTTGCTAATCTTCGCAAAAGTTGTCGCAAATATTTGTTTACAGTCGCTAATAATCGCTAACTGCCTTTCGCAAACACTTTCGGAGACATTGGCTCAAATGTTGCTAATTGTCGCTAAACGTCACTTAATGTCGCTGATTTTCGCCAACATTCGTCAGAAAAGTTGGCGAATCCAAATTCGCAACGTTCGCAAGCATTCGCTGCTCAGTTAGATAGGCCCTTAAATTCGCTACGTTCAAAATCATAGGGCCTTTACTGATGAATTGTCTTCTTGACTCAACTATCTGCACAACATGTGTAATAAGTTAAGCCAAGGTCACAACTGGCCATGCACCTTTCTGAGACATGTCTGTTTGTTTTGAGAAGTTGCCATTTATTTATCCATTTAAAAAATACGCTGCGGTTTACCAAGGCATATCTGAAAGAGCCTCTATAAAAATATAGAGGCAAAGCTTACAGGCTAATTAAAGTCCACTCCAAAAATAATTTGCATTTAATAGATGCAGAAAAACAAGAGAAACATTGCACAACAAATTTGAGTAAAATCATGAATTTTTGAAAAAGTATGACAAATTTTGGAACAATAGAAATCACTACACACATTGCGAATTTAGTTATCAGTTTGTGACGTCATTGTCTCACTATTTATCAATAGCTTTACATATGTTTATCCCATTAATTTCCATTTTTATCCCCTAAAACTTGATTTTCCCTTGTCTATATACCCAGGTTATATGATTTGTATAATACTGCGTGCATGACATTTCACAAAATCTTTTGTGAACTTTGAAGAATTGACACTATTGATCTGAGTATTGTATATTCATAATCATTGAGTTTTATATATTAAATACTTAGCCAAAATTCAAATTTGTCATGATTCAAATGAAAAAAAATTACTCTATATTAGAGCATCCACACAAAAACATATCATACTATCAATATAATTTGGATGCTGGTGTGAAGAAATAAGATTCTTAGGAGGAAAATGGAAAATTTATATTATCAATATAAAATAAACAATTAGTGGATAGTGAGGCAATGACGTCACAGACTCATGGGTGAGTTGCCAATGACGTCACAGACTCATGAGTGAGTTGCTAATTTGTCCTGTGATTTTCAAAGTTTTCCATCTCATTAAAAATTCATAACTTTCTTATTATTAGTTAACCGATTTTGCTCAAACTTTTTTGATTGGTTTGTCTGATTTTTCTGCTTCTATTGAAGGTAAATTATTTTTGGAGTGGACTTGCCCTTTAAGATGTGCTGTTGGTTTTGAGGGAATATTTTACTGATAAGTGCTGATGGCTCAAAAATACAGGATTCATTATATACTGGTATAATTATATCCTTGTATTAAATCCCTACATCACTGTAGAGTAAAATTGTTATCATCTGTTCTTTATACCTTACAGGTTTTGAACTTGAGTCAAAATATTCAGGAGGATGACCTACAGCATTTACAATTGTTTACTGAGTATGGAAGACTGGCTATGGAGGAGGAGAGTTCTGAAGCCAAACCATTCCAGGTCAGTCACTAATGTATTGGCAACAACTGCAAAATCTTTAACTAGTCAAATTCCTAACTTCCGAACGTTAGACTCAGCTCTATTCATAAGCCCAATCATAATACCTAACCTGAAATCCAATGGCATCAATATCTTCATCATATTTTTGTTGAGTGGATTGGCACTGGAATGAGTTGCAATAATCATGCATTCAAGCCCTAGCCCCCCTCTCAGTGTTATTTAGGGTACGCATATGCGTGTTCCCTCCTTTTGAAAACACCCCTCTAAGTCCGGTGTATAAAGTCAATACGGGCCGGATTTTTGTGTACTACGAGCCGGACTTTGGTGCGTGGAAACTGGAAAGTACCCCTATATCGGACATTTTGGGAACACGCATGCTGTCATTCCGACCCCGGAGTTGGGGGGGGGGGGGGGGCTAGCCACTTTGTGAATTTAGCAAGGTTTTTCATCAATATTGCTTCTGTAGAATTATAAGTGTGTATGGATTGTGAATGAAGATTGTAAAAGCTTGTTCACTGATCACACAACATAACTCTATATTTATTTTTAGCTACGAGGCAGCAAGGTTGCACTGACAATAAAATACGTGATAAACTGTTTTCCCTCTTCGTTATTTTATTGAGAAATATAAATTGTAGACTAAACACAAAGTGTAGTCATGCAAGCAAATAAATGATTCAGAATAAGAATCACATGAATGAGAATTGAGAATATTGCACGGAGGTTACATTAATGGCCAATAATAAATTAGATGGATGGACATGATCAATTTAATGAATAAATATAGAGTTTACGACATAGTAGAAATGATGTCGAAAGTCCAATAATGACGACGGGTGAAGAACGAAGGAAGGGGCTCACGCGATGATAATGCGGTGGCTTGATGACGAAAATGCGTCTTCGATGTCGTGCCTGAAGAACCGTGAAGACGCAATGTCGACGCGAATGCTCGTGATGATGAAGACGCTCTCAGGCGAGAAGAGAAGAAAAGAGATGTGGCTCTCGAAGACGAAGCAGTGAGTCGCTCGATGTCGGAGGGTAAGGAAGAAATGAAGACATCAAAGCCGGTGGTAATGCAGATCAGAGCAGTGAGTCGCTCGATGGATGAGCCAAACTGTGATGTATGGTCAATTTAAGAGAGCTGCGGTGAATCGAGCTCGTGGTGAATGGTCAGGCAAGGCTACGGTGAGTCGAGCTTGTGTGGGTGAACAATCTACCGGAGCGAAGGAACTGGTAGCTCCCAGCGGAGAACCAAGCGTCAGTCCTGATGTCGGTCCTGATTAAACGTTCCACTGAAAGACTCCTAGCGCACTGGAGAGGGCAGAGAGAGAGAGAGAGTAAACGTGCCATTGCAAGAGGGTGATATGCACGGCAAAATAATAAGCCCAGAGAGACAATCTTGACTCGACTGTCATGGTAGCAGGTGTTGTCAACTCGACTGAGGTGTAAGTAGGATTGAACCAAACCTCACGTGTTGAGATACGCGGTGTGAACGATGCGCGAACCCCCCCCCCCCCTCCCCTCCCCCTCCGGGAACGGAGGGACCGCATGCGTGTTTCCAAAATCTCCGGCTCGTAACAAAAGAAAAGGGTCTACCCGTATTGACTTTACACACCGGACTTATGCTGTAAAGGGGGGGGGGGGTGCTGAAAAGGCTCGTATATAACAAAAGAAAAAGGTCTACCCGTATTGACTTTACACACCGGACTTATGCTGAAAAAAAGGGGGTGCTGGGAACACGCATATTATGCTTAACCTAAATAACACTGAGTGGGGGGCGGGGCGAAACCACGGTGCTCGATTGGAGGAACACACGTGGTCCGAATAAATGAATATAAATAAGTAGCGTGATGGAAAATTACTAAGAACATGAATGTACAGTAAAAGTAGTGCGAATGTATGAGACGCTACACTTCTCTCCACCAATGTATATAATTAGGTGAATTAAATGCAAACATCAATCATTACAGTTGGATTAGCATTTAAATGATGGTTGCCAAGTATGCCCTGTGTGAGTGCAGGATTTTAAATAATTCCAATAATGCTGGGTGGTAAGAAAACACTGTAAAACGATCAGTTCTTAGTATTGTAGTTATTCGTCTGCATGATATTTTGATAATATGTCTGATATTTCACGCTTGTTGAATCACTTGAAGATGAGAAGTATCTGTGTTTGTCTTGTTAACAATAATAAGTTCATGCTATTACTTATTTCTATTTTGATGTTAGTCTTTGATGATCCTGGTTCGTGATTGGAGCTACCACTATGAATATGACTATGGGGGAAGTGGAGGTTCCAAGTTCCTTGACAAGAGGTTGAATGTAAGTATTAAACACACAATCAATATAGTGTTTCATGTTATAAGTAAATATTCTGCTATTAAGATGAGTTATAATAATCCTAGCTACATTGATGTTTAGTTGCAGTTTTTGTTTATTTGTTAGTTTTGAATTGGGTTCACCTTTATTTGTAATGTGTATTCTTTTTTTTTAATTACACGTGAAATGCATAAAATTATATCAGAAAGGAGTTTTATTTTCGTGTTAAAAAAATGGCTTGTGCTTTAAATACCTTTGATCACAGGTACTCCTGGACATCCACCCCCGGATAACCACTTCCAGTCAACTACCCTCTAGGACAACAACCCCCTAGGAAAACTACCCCTAGGGCAACCACCCTCTAGGACGACTACCCCCTGGGACAACTACCCCCCAGACAACTACCCCAGACAACTAACCTCTACGACAACTACCCCCTACGACAACTACCTCCCGGATAACTACCCCCGGACAACTACCCCCTACGACAACCATCCTCTAGGACAACCACCCCCCGGAAAGCTATCCTAGTGGTAGGTGTCTTGGGGTAGTTGTCCGGGGGTAGTTGTCCTAGGGGGTAGTTGTCCTAGGGGATAGTTGACTGGGGATTGTTATCCAGGGGTGGATGTCCAGGGGGTAGGTGTCCGGTGCCATATTGTACATGTTTATGTAAGATTCAATCAGGAATTTGATCTAGAAGGATGGTGTGAAACGATCGAAGTACTTTTGCATTTTGGAAGTGTCCACTAACATATTTTTCACCCTTGTTGTTACTTGTTGTTGTTGGAAGTTCTCCTTACTGTTTATTTTCATATAATGGTTGCCAATCAACGGTATTATTGAATTATCTTCTTTTGTGGTTTTCATCTATGTTGTACTGACAGGAATCAGCTAGGCATAGAGATTTACAGGATGTGAGACGTCATATCACAAGCTGCTTCAAGAGACTTGGCTGCTTCTTGATGCCTCATCCTGGTCTAGCTGTAGCTAACAATCAAGACTTTGATGGTAGATTAGCAGGTAGGTGATTTAACTTCCTAAACAATAATTGAAAGTTATGCTATCATTAAATACGTTTCACCTACTAGGAAAATTCCCAATGAAAAGGATAAAGACTCCTGTATTTTAATAAATATCAAATTGATTGATATAGTGCAAGACGCTTTTTTGTATTATCGTCTATTATTATTGTCTTATTAACACATAGAGGAACCGAATATCTAAAGGAAAAATGAAATTTCTAAATTCCTACATTCTGTTGACAAAGTATATATGAACATTACTATCAATTTCAAGAAATTAATGTTAATTTTCATTTTAAAATAATGTTATTCGTAACAACCCAATGAACTAAGACGGGAAGGGATTCAAATTTGTCAGTTTGTTTAAACCCTTTTAAAGGTACCAATTTACAGCCAACATCAAATTATTTAGAACTTTGCAGGAATTATGAACATGTCACGTATGTCCTATCTATGAAATTTAAACGTTAACAGTGTCCTAATATTCAAATTATGCAAGGAAACCCGTTTACTTTCTAGACTTCACTGTCAGACACTATTAAGTGACTGACTGACTTCTTTTTTTTTCTTTGGTAATAACATACGTAAAATGAGCTGCAAAGCGTACATGAGCATTTTTCGTCTACATCAATAACCCAATTCTAGTAATAGCCAAAATTAAACTGATTGAATCTTGGCGCAGCATAAAACGTACGACCATTCGGCCTGTGGCGGATCCAGGGGGGGGGGGGGGGGCCTTGAGAAACAAAATCATGTAAAAACACGTGATTTTTACCTTTGTGGGGGGTTGGACCCCCCCCCCCCCCCCGCGCGCTCAAGAGGGGGGGGGGGTGCAAATTTTCAAATTTTCGGGAGCAAAAAAAAAAAGTTGGGCCCCCTCCCTTAAGAAATCCTGGATCCGCGCCTGATCCGGCACAATGGTCTAAAAATCAGACTATTACTTTAGTGATTGCAATCACTAAAGTCAATTCGAAAACTAATGGTCTGAAAGACTTTTTCAAGCCCTTTCGTTTGGAGGGAAATTTTAAATTAGCATTTTTTTTCCATTTTGTTGGCCTGCAAATGGGACATAGTACTTTTTAAAGCTTTAAGAATTCAGCTCATGATCCAAAATCATTTTGTTTTCTTCTTGATTTCAGGTATCAGTAAAGATTTCAAGACCTATCTGCAGGAATTAGCTCCTCTTCTTCTTTCGAAGGAAAATCTGATTGTCAAGGAGATCAATGGCACTAAGGTCACGTGTCAGGCACTTCTAGAGTACTTCAAGGTCAGATTTGATATTACACTGACTCTAACCTATTATTCGGTAGAAAGATATACTTCTAATTCAAACCAAATAATTACATAATCAATGTCGCAGCTTTAATGGCCTTCTGGTAATACAGCAATCTACATTTGCCAAATGCAGCCGAGCTAAAGCCGGGGTAATAATTGTGGAGCGCCGGGATTATAGAGTCTGACAGGCCTGAGCGCTTCATATACATAATACACACATTGTTGTTGTTGTTATTGGGTTTTAAGGCCTTCCAATCTGGCTATACCACAGAACTAGACGAAACGTATTTTACAGTTGTGTGTGCTATACTGCTCAAAGTGGCCGCTCGGTTCATTTTCCCTGACAGTCGGCCTATTTTTCAAGATGCCCACCGGCATTTTTATTTTTGTTTTTTATTTTTCAGAAAAAGATCATTTTAGCAGTGAAATTGTTTTCTTTAAAAAAATTATTAAAAAATAAAAAATAAAAAAAAGGAGGCGGCCCCCAAAAGGAAGAGGGCGGGGACGCTAAACATGTATAATTGTGTGTAATGGGCTTATAGCTAAACTGATGACTCTTAAGTTTCCCTGTAGCTCACAATGCGCATGTATCCACTCAAACTTTATGTCTATACCAAAAGCGCTAATTGTGTCACTTTCTCCGATATTTCTATAATTATACTAGATTTGTTCATGTTTTAATAGCCTGCAGGGCAGGCATCGAATCTGATGATGTTACTACAGATACTCAAAGAAAGTCCTCTATTTATTGTAGGGCTAGGATGGTCGCTGTCAGTTTGGTAGTCATAATATTTACTGGGGTGGTTCTATAAACTCTACTTATCTTAAATTTTGTAATATAAAAAGCTGCACCTGTTAGACCATCATCAAGTTTGGATCCATCTATTTAATCTTCAAATAGTTATTTCATTTTATTGAAATATTTTCCAATGCACAATTTAACTGCTGTATTGGAAGCCTGTCTACGGAACTCTGAGGGGGGCTCCCAGCACTCGACCTGAATCGCTGCTAAGGATTTGTCGTATTGTATAAACAGACATGGGCAGATAAGGGCAATTTATACCAAAATTGTAAAACCCACCGAGATGAATACTGGATACGTGTATGCAATGTGGTTATGTTATCATCATTTATTTATGCATCGATGGGTACGTTCTAAGTTATGCCTAGGTCACATATAAACCGGGCCGCGTACGATTTTCCCTACCCGGCGGCTTGCGGTGGATTTAAAGACCGTGCGGGAACCTTCCGATTGTCATTTCTATGGCATGTGTGGTCACGTTTTCTGCGGTGCTCAGGAGGTGCCCGGCGAAAATTGGTCGAGTGAAATGCAAGGCGCCCGTAAAAGTGCCGGCCGGTGAGCTCACGGGCTCCGTCCGATGAGCAGGTGCACCCAGGGCTCCCGGAAGGTGCCTTGCCGGGGCCCGGCTGGGGCCTCAAGGCGCCCGGACGGGTGACGTGCGGTGCACTGAACTATGTGTCCTGTGACATCCGCACCTCCTGTATTCAAAGCTGCGTTGTACATGTTGAGATGCCGCCGTGAGGGGGCCGCACGGGCAATATTCATTTCAATTGGCCCCCGGACGGCAGACGCTCGGTGTTGTGCATATCACCGGGGCTGTTGAGTGGCCCGTGAGGGAACCGTAGGGTAGACGTACGACACCCTCGAGCACCGCAAGGCGCCCGTAAAGATTTTTCAAAGGAATTTACCCAACAAAATCGTGAGGGGCCCTACCTACGGGCCCCTTACGGGCTTTCTACGGCCTAACGGGCAGGATAAAATGCCGGGGGAATTGGGAGCAGCCAACTCAGCACCACGGCGCCCGTACGGCTTTAAAAACTGTCCCGGCGCCCTGTAGGAACTTTACGGCAACCGGCCGGACACCGGCCGAAAAATCCCAAAATGTCTGTCTTTACTCGCCGTACGGGCCCCGGAGTGTATATTTGAAAGCCCCATAACGCAATATGCATTCAGGCATTCATATACATTTGATTTCTTGTCCAAACTCATATTCCTAAAATTGGCTTTATCCTTTTTCTCTACTAGTTCTTGTAATTGAGTTTTAAATGTGTTTCCATGTACAATCAAACCTGCTTTAGTGACCACCTGTCTACAAAGACCACATTTTTGTTCCACTTGAAAATGGTTTCTCTTTGAAAAATGTACTAAAGGAACCTGACTACAAAGATCAATTTTTGTTTTTCCCATTCTGGCGGTCGCTAGAGACAGGTTTGACTGTAGTTTGTATTTGTACAATACTCTATCTTTTCATGCTGTTTGGTTCAGGCTTACATCACTATCTACAAGGGAGACGTTTTACCTGAACCTAAGACTATACTACAGGTAAGAAGAAAGATGTATGACCAAATTAATGATGTTACAGTTTCCAATTGCATCTAACATGTATCTTTTGTAATATTGCAGGGGAATAGTAAAGGAAATCATCTATATATTATCAATATAAACTTTGATTCAACTTCCCATAACACTTCACCTAGAAAGAATAAAGTCATTTCATTATAAATATAATTTCATATAACGAGTTCTGTGTTAAGTTCAAGCTGGTTATTTTCATTAAGACATATGAATTTGAAATGGGCCAATAATTTTTAGTACATTAATAGTAATAGCCTTATTACATAAAAAAAACACGTTTCTGTGATGCTTTAAGGCATTGAAAGAATTACATTGTTTTAATGCTGTTGATATGATTCCAATTTGTATTTTATCCATCATAGAATTGATGTGTTTAACCATCCGCCGGGTATGCATTTACTTAATTTGTTGTATAGGCGACAGCAGAGGCCAATAACTTAGCTGCAGTAGCAAGTGCTTTGGACAAATACACTAAGGATATGGAACAGGTGAGGAAAGTTTTGTAGTAGATAGAACAACAACAGTATAAATGCTGCCATGTTCATATTTCATGCATTAAAGTGATTGTACTACGCTAGTGCCTAGCATTTACCATTGTCATGCCACAACAACTCTAATTTGTTGATAAGAATCAAAAGTTCTTGGTTGGGTGCATGCTCGCATGTTCGTGTATGTTTAGAGTCACAATGTGGGTTACATTACATGAGAAACAGTTGGATATATTGCTTGTTCATATATGACGCTGCAGCAGTTTTTTTTTTTAATTTGGACGTAAAGTGTAATAGCTATATATAGGCGTAACATTTCTTTGTCTTATAATACAGAGCTCAGTGAATAAGTGCAAGTCCTTTGCTGCGCGTAGTTGCCATTCTGCGTTTAAATACAAAGTTGCAGCTTTTTGTGGCGCTTTACCCCGCCATATCTAAACGAGCCTTTATGCCTAGGTCACATTTGCCGCGGCGGCCATGGGCTCTAAAATATCTACGGCCAATAGCAATTAGGCCCCCCCCCCCCCCCCCCCCAAAAAAAAAAAAAAAAAAAAAAAAAAAAAATGTTGTATTGCTCTTTAGGTGCCAAAACATGGGTCGGTCGGTCGGTCGGAAATCTTTTTTTTTTCTCCCTCTTTGGGCTGACTTTTCCGCAAAAAAAACGGTAAATAAAAAAAATTGATTAAAAAGCCGACCGTAGATTTCATGATTTTGGGATCGGTCGCAAAGGGAAATACAACATTGTTAAACGACCTTATAGGGCCACTATACATAGTCGCAAACGGTAGTAGTCAATAATAATAACAACATTTATAATGCGCACATATCCACCCCAAGAGATGCTCAAGGCGCCTAACAAGGTAAGTACATTGAACGAAAATAATATAACATAATTAAATATAATTCAACAACGTTAATTACATCAGATTGTGAAATACACTACGTCTTAAATAAGGAATTCAGACATTAGATAGGTTTTCAATTGTTTTTGGAACACATTTTGATTCGCTGACATTTTGATTGAATGGGGTAGGGAGTTCCATAACCGGGGTGCAGCAGCTGTAAAAGCTCTGTCTCCCCAACTCCTCTTTGTTCTTAACTGTGTTAAATTTGTTGAATTAGAGGAACGAAGACCTGCACGAGAACTTAAAGAGATATTAAGAAGAGAGGAAATATATTCAGGGACTGATCCATTTAGTGAACGGTAGGTGAGTAGTAGAATTTTATATTTGATACGCTGTTCTATTGGAAGCCAGTGAAGGTTCTTGAGTATTTGAGTAGTATGGGTCGAACGTTTAGATTTAGTGACAAGGCGGGCAGCTGCGTTTTGAACCTTTTGTAGTTTGTGAATTTGGTATGTAGTCACATATGTTAGCTGGATGTATTTTTCACTGAGTGTACTAGATCTTGGACTGTATGAATAGTTTTATAACTTGGTGTATATAAAATGGAAAGCTGAATTCCTATCTGCTGAATCAAAATTTGGACAAAGATTATAATAGGATATATGAGCTAGCAGATGGTCGGAACCTCTTTTGAAGGCATAACAGTTTTGCCATCCATTCTCAGTCTTATGCAGGGCTATATCCTTCTTGTATGTGATACAGGTATGTGGAGGTGACAAGCCATACCTGAGTCCAGATGAGCTAAAGAAGAAACACAATCAAGTTGAGGAAGCAGCCATTAATCAATTCAGAAAAGTACGCAAGATGGGAGGAAGGCAGTACAGCCAGCAATATGAGGAGGAACTTTTAGCTCAGATGAAGACTTACGAGCAGCAGTATATCAAACACAATGAAAACAAGAAGCCGTTCAACATGAAAACCATACTCCCAACGTACAACACGCCATTGGTGATTGGAATAGTAGGAGGCTTGATTATTGTATGCTTTTGTACGATTACACCGATTTCCGTTATAAGGCCAGTCAAGACGGTAAAGCAGATAGCTGATGTTCTTAAAGGTATTACAAAGTGTTGGTAAAACTATCTAATTCATCTGAAACTCTTTGATGTTATAACAATATGCTATAGGAATATCTTTAACCAATCTCCCCAGCTGAAATACTTTTTTTTTTTAGTGAATTAAACAGTAATTAATAAATCAATTATTAGTTCCAAGCTGACAAAAGTAATGAACACACAACAATAACGAGCTAACTTCCCCTAAAGGGTAGAAATAAACAATAATATTAATATATTACATTTATAAAGCGCTTAATACAATGTTTCTAATCGCTTAACAAAAATAAAAAGTAATGTTAACCTACAAATTACAACAATATAATAATACATGATTCATAATTCTAATTCAAAGCTGCGTTGTACATGTTGAGATGCCGCCGTGAGGGGCCCGCACGGGCAATATTCATTTCAATTGGCCCCCGGACAGCAGACGCTCGGTGTTGTGCATATCACCAGGGCTGTTGAGTGGCCCGTGAGGGAACCGTAGGGTACACGTACGACACCCTCGAGCACCGCAAGGCGCCCGTAAAGATTTTTCAAAGGAATTTACCCAACAAAATCGTGAGGGGCCCTACCTACGGGCCCCTTACGGCCTTTCTACGGCCTAACGGGCAGGAAAAAATGCCGGGGGAATTGGGAGCAGCCAACTCAGCACCACGGCGCCCGTACGGCTTTAAAAACTATCCCGGCGCCCTGTAGGAACTTTACGGCAACCGGCCGGACACCGGCCGAAAAATCCCAAAATGTCTGTTTTTACTCGCCGTACGGGCCCCGGAGTGTATATTTGAAAGCCCCATAACGCAATATGCATTCAGACATTCATATACATTTGATTTCTTGTCCAAACTCATATTCCTAAAATTGGCTATATCCTTTTTCTCTACTAGTTCTTGTAATTGAGTTTTAAATGTGTTTCCATGTACAGTCAAACCTGCTTTAGTGACCACCTGTCTACAAAGACCACATTTTTGTTCCACTTGAAAATGGTTTCTCTTTGAAAAATGTACTAAAGGAACCTGACTACAAAGATCAATTTTTGTTTTTCCCATTCTGGCGGTCGCTAGAGACAGGTTTGACTGTAGTTTGTATTTGCACAATACTCTATCTTTTCATGCTGTTTGGTTCAGGCTTACATCACTATCTACAAGGGAGACGTTTTACCTGAACCTAAGACTATACTACAGGTAAGAAGAAAGATGTATGACCAGAAAATTAATGATGTTACAGTTTCCAATTGCATCTAACATGTATCTTTTGTAATATTGCAGGGGAATAGTAAAGGAAATCATCTATATATTATCAATATAAACTTTGATTCAACTTCCCATAACACTTCACCTAGAAAGAATAAAGTCATTTTATTATAAATATAATTTCATATAACGAGTTCTGTGTTAAGTTCAAGCTGGTTATTTTCATCAAGACATATGAATTTGAAATGGGCCAATAATTTTTAGTACATTAATAGTAATAGCCTTATTACATAAAAAAAAACAAGTTTCTGTGATGCTTTAAGGCATTGAAAGAATTACATTGTTTTAATGCTGTTGATATGATTCCAATTTGTATTTTATCCATCATAGAATTGATGTGTTTAACCATCCGCCGGGTATGCATTTACTTAATTTGTTGTATAGGCGACAGCAGAGGCCAATAACTTAGCTGCAGTAGCAAGTGCTTTGGACAAATACACTAAGGATATGGAACAGGTGAGGAAAGTTTTGTAGTAGATAGAACAACAACAGTATAAATGCTGCCATGTTCATATTTCATGCATTAAAGTGATTGTACTACGCTAGTGCCTTGCATTTACTATTGTCATGCCACAACAACTCTAATTTGTTGATAAGAATCAAAAGTCCTTGGTTGGGTGCATGCTCGCATGTTCGTGTATTTTGAGAGTCACAATATGGGTTACATTACATGGGAAACAGTTGGATATATTGCTTGTTCGTATATGACGCGGCAAAAACTGCAGCAGTTTTTTTTTTAAATTTGGACGTAAAGTGTAATAGCTATATATAGGCGTAACATTTCTTTATCTTATAATACAGAGCTCAGTGAATAAGTGCAAGTCCTTTGTTGCGCGTAGTTGCCTTTCATTTACACGTTTAAATAAAACGTTGCAGCTTTTTGTGGCGCTTTACTCCGCCATATCTAAACGAGCCTTTATGCCTAGTAGGTCACATTTGCCGCGGCGGCCATGGGGTCTAAAATATCTACGGCCAATAGCAATTAGGGCCCCCCCCCCCAAAAAAAAAAAAAAAAAAAAAAAAAAAAAAAAAAATGTTGTATTGCTCTTTAGGTGCCAAAACATGGGTCGGTCGGTCGGTCGGAAATCTTTTTTTTTTCTCCCTCTTTGGGCTGACTTTTCCGCAAAAAAAACGGTAAATAAAAAAAATTAATTAAAAAGCCGACCGTAGATTTCATGATTTTGGGATCGGTCGCAAAGGGAAATACAACATTGTTAAACGACCTTATAGGGCCACTATACATAGTCGCAAACGGTAGTAGTCACATATGTTAGCTGGATGTATTTTTCACTGAGTGTACTAGATCTTGGACTGTATGAATAGTTTTATAACTTGGTGTATATAAAATGGAAAGCTGAATTCCTATCTGCTGAATCAAAATTTGGACAAAGATTATAATAGGATATATGAGCTAGCAGATGGTCGGAACCTCTTTTGAAGGCATAACAGTTTTGCCATCCATTCTCAGTCTTATGCAGGGCTATATCCTTCTTGTATGTGATACAGGTATGTGGAGGTGACAAGCCATACCTGAGTCCAGATGAGCTAAAGAAGAAACACAATCAAGTTGAGGAAGCAGCCATTAATCAATTCAGAAAAGTACGCAAGATGGGAGGAAGGCAGTACAGCCAGCAATATGAGGAGGAACTTTTAGCTCAGATGAAGACTTACGAGCAGCAGTATATCAAACACAATGAAAACAAGAAGCCGTTCAACATGAAAACCATACTCCCAACGTACAACACGCCATTGGTGATTGGAATAGTAGGAGGCTTGATTATTGTATGCTTTTGTACGATTACACCGATTTCCGTTATAAGGCCAGTCAAGACGGTAAAGCAGATAGCTGATGTTCTTAAAGGTATTACAAAGTGTTGGTAAAACTATCTAATTCATCTGAAACTCTTTGATGTTATAACAATATGCTATAGGAATATCTTTAACCAATCTCCCCAGCTGAAATACTTTTTTTTTTTTTTAGTGAATTAAACAGTAATTAATAAATCAATTATTAGTTCCAAGCTGACAAAAGTAATGAACACACAACAATAACGAGCTAACTTCCCCTAAAGGGTAGAAATAAACAATAATATTAATATATTACATTTATAAAGCGCTTAATACAATGTTTCTAATCGCTTAACAAAAATAAAAAGTAATGTTAACCTACAAATTACAACAATATAATAATACATGATTCATAATTCTAATTCAAAGCTGCGTTGTACATGTTGAGATGCCGCCGTGAGGGGCCCGCACGGGCAATATTCATTTCAATTGGCCCCCGGACAGCAGACGCTCGGTGTTGTGCATATCACCAGGGCTGTTGAGTGGCCCGTGAGGGAACCGTAGGGTACACGTACGACACCCTCGAGCACCGCAAGGCGCCCGTAAAGATTTTTCAAAGGAATTTACCCAACAAAATCGTGAGGGGCCCTACCTACGGGCCCCTTACGGCCTTTCTACGGCCTAACGGGCAGGAAAAAATGCCGGGGGAATTGGGAGCAGCCAACTCAGCACCACGGCGCCCGTACGGCTTTAAAAACTATCCCGGCGCCCTGTAGGAACTTTACGGCAACCGGCCGGACACCGGCCGAAAAATCCCAAAATGTCTGTTTTTACTCGCCGTACGGGCCCCGGAGTGTATATTTGAAAGCCCCATAACGCAATATGCATTCAGACATTCATATACATTTGATTTCTTGTCCAAACTCATATTCCTAAAATTGGCTATATCCTTTTTCTCTACTAGTTCTTGTAATTGAGTTTTAAATGTGTTTCCATGTACAGTCAAACCTGCTTTAGTGACCACCTGTCTACAAAGACCACATTTTTGTTCCACTTGAAAATGGTTTCTCTTTGAAAAATGTACTAAAGGAACCTGACTACAAAGATCAATTTTTGTTTTTCCCATTCTGGCGGTCGCTAGAGACAGGTTTGACTGTAGTTTGTATTTGCACAATACTCTATCTTTTCATGCTGTTTGGTTCAGGCTTACATCACTATCTACAAGGGAGACGTTTTACCTGAACCTAAGACTATACTACAGGTAAGAAGAAAGATGTATGACAAGAAAATTAATGATGTTACAGTTTCCAATTGCATCTAACATGTATCTTTTGTAATATTGCAGGGGAATAGTAAAGGAAATCATCTATATATTATCAATATAAACTTTGATTCAACTTCCCATAACACTTCACCTAGAAAGAATAAAGTCATTTCATTATAAATATAATTTCATATAACGAGTTCTGTGTTAAGTTCAAGCTGGTTATTTTCATCAAGACATATGAATTTGAAATGGGCCAATAATTTTTAGTACATTAATAGTAATAGCCTTATTACATAAAAAAACACGTTTCTGTGATGCTTTAAGGCATTGAAAGAATTACATTGTTTTAATGCTGTTGATATGATTCCAATTTGTATTTTATCCATCATAGAATTGATGTGTTTAACCATCCGCCGGGTATGCATTTACTTAATTTGTTGTATAGGCGACAGCAGAGGCCAATAACTTAGCTGCAGTAGCAAGTGCTTTGGACAAATACACTAAGGATATGGAACAGGTGAGGAAAGTTTTGTAGTAGATAGAACAACAACAGTATAAATGCTGCCATGTTCATATTTCATGCATTAAAGTGATTGTACTACGCTAGTGCCTAGCATTTACTATTGTCATGCCACAACAACTCTAATTTGTTGATAAGAATCAAAAGTTCTTGGTTGGGTGCATGCTCGCATGTTCGTGTATTTTGAGAGTCACAATATGGGTTACATTACATGGGAAACAGTTGGATATATTGCTTGTTCATATATGACGCGGCAAGAACTGCAGCAGTTTTTTTTAATTTGGACGTAAAGTGTAATAGCTATATATAGGCGTAACATTTCTTTGTCTTATAATACAGAGCTCAGTGAATAAGTGCAAGTCCTTTGCTGCGCGTAGTTGCCATTCTGCGTTTAAATACAAAGTTGCAGCTTTTTGTGGCGCTTTACCCCGCCATATCTAAACGAGCCTTTATGCCTAGGTCACATTTGCCGCGGCGGCCATGGGGTCTAAAATATCTACGGCCAATAGCAATTAGGCCCCCCCCCCCCCCCCAAAAAAAAAAAAAAAAAAAAAAAAAAAAATGTTGTATTGCTCTTTAGGTGCCAAAACATGGGTCGGTCGGTCGGTCGGAAATCTTTTTTTTTCTCCCTCTTTGGGCTGACTTTTCCGCAAAAAAAACGGTAAATAAAAAAAATTGATTAAAAAGCCGACCGTAGATTTCATGATTTTGGGATCGGTCGCAAAGGGAAATACAACATTGTTAAACGACCTTATAGGGCCACTATACATAGTCGCAAACGGTAGTAGTCACATATGTTAGCTGGATGTATTTTTCACTGAGTGTACTAGATCTTGGACTGTATGAATAGTTTTATAACTTGGTGTATATAAAATGGAAAGCTGAATTCCTATCTGCTGAATCAAAATTTGGACAAAGATTATAATAGGATATATGAGCTAGCAGATGGTCGGAACCTCTTTTGAAGGCATAACAGTTTTGCCATCCATTCTCAGTCTTATGCAGGGCTATATCCTTCTTGTATGTGATACAGGTATGTGGAGGTGACAAGCCATACCTGAGTCCAGATGAGCTAAAGAAGAAACACAATCAAGTTGAGGAAGCAGCCATTAATCAATTCAGAAAAGTACGCAAGATGGGAGGAAGGCAGTACAGCCATCAATATGAGGAGAAACTTTTAGCTCAGATAAAGACTTACGAGCAGCAGTATATCAAACACAATGAAAACAAGAAGCCGTTCAACATGAAAACCATACTCCCAACGTACAACACGCCATTGGTGATTGGAATAGTAGGAGGCTTGATTATTGTATGCTTTTGTACGATTACACCGATTTCCGTTATAAGGCCAGTCAAGACGGTAAAGAAGATAGCTGATATTCTTAAAGGTATTACAAAGTGTTGGTAAAAATATTTAATTCATCTGAAACTCTTTGATGTTATAACAATATGCTATAGGAATATCTTTAACCAATCTCCCCCGCTGAAATACTTTTTTTTTTTTTTTAGTGAATTAAACAGTAATTAATAAATCAATTATTAGTTCCAAGCTGACAAAAGTAATGAACACACAACAATAACGAGCTACATGATACATAATTCTAATAACAAATTCCTAATAACAATCATATAATAATAATACTTAATATTTACATAACGCTTTATAATTTAACAAACAAGATAGAATTAAATTAAACAGAGAAGTCTTAAGTTTACTCATGACGATTTCTAACGTTGGGTACTCGCGTATTTCAAGGGGAAGTTTGTTCCAAAGTTGGGGAGCACAAACAGAAAAGGCACGATCGCCATATCGAGTGTGGGTGAGAGGGCCTGGGGCTAGATGAAGATGTGCTGTGGACAATGCTCGGAGACGCATATAATGATGTATGAGTTTTAGGAGTGATGAGTTCCGAGAGATATGAGGGAGCAAGTTTGTGAAAGGCCTTGTATGTCAGCATGAGAATATTAAATTTGACACGCTGTTGGAGGGGGAGTCAGTGTAGAGAAAGAATGATCAACGTGATGTGTTCATGTTTTCTTGTACGTATGATGAGGCGTGCTGCTGTGTTCTGAATATGTTGATATTATATATTATATATATATACAGTGTATATATATTGCAGTAATCAAGATGGGAATTTACAAAGGCATTAATTAGACGATGAGAGGAACTTTGATCCAGAAATGTTCGCAGTTTTCCAACTTTGTGGATCCCGAAAGCTGCGATACGACATACTTTGCGGATATGCTGGTTCACATTCAACACGTTGTCCACTGTGACTCCCAGATCCTTGGCGGATTGGGAAAGAGTGATTGTTGTGCCATCCATGTCAAGATCAGGTAGCACACTGGAATTTCGAAACATGAAAGTTATATGGATAACTTCCCGTTGAACACAAGATTATTGCCGCAGGACCAACTTTTCACGTCACTGACGCACATGTTGAGCTCGGAAATGCTACTGGAAGCATCATTTTGCTTGAGCACTATTATGTACAAGTGGCGCATTCAGCCCCCCTGTCCCCCCCCCCCCCCCCCCCGTAAAAAAAAAGGGGGGGGAAGGGGGAAAAGGAGGGGGAAAAGAAAGAAAAGGGAAGAGAGAAAGAAGAAAAGGGGAGAGGAGAAAAAATAAGGGGAAAGGGGAAGAGAGAGGGGAGAAAAGGCGGAAAAGGAGCTCCCCCACCTGTCAGGATATTGTCGGAAAAGAGAACAGAAGAAAGAAATAGAAAAAGAGTAAGGAGAGGCAAGAAAGGAAAAGAAAGAAAAGGAGAAAAGGAAAAAAAAGAAGTTAAAAAGGAAAGGAAAGAAACGGGGGTGAAAGAGAGGAGAGAGAGGGGGTAAGAGCCTGAGAGAAGAGGGGTGGGAGTAAGAGCGAGAGAGAGGGGGGTGTTGGGTGGAGTCACCACGTCGAGGGGGCAAGAAAGATACGCATATATAATTATGTTGCTGTGTCGGGTCCGCTGGGTCCTAAATACTCGTGTGCTAAATCAATGAAGAAGTTCGAAGTCGGTGAGCTGTATCGGCCGGCAAATTCTTTTCCCCTACGAACTGTGACTTTTGATCTGACAAAGAAATATTTTTGAAAATTCAGACAATGTTTAAGAGTCGGTACAACGAATCGTCTTTTTTCTCTACTAATTAAATGAAGCGTAAAAGCGTCCCTGGATGTATTACAGTCACTATGCTGGCCAACTCTTGATAAATTGTTCTGGAAAACAATGTGCTGTTTAATGTATAAATGTGTAAATAGAATAACACCCGGAATCGTTCATGACAGATTTATACTCGTCGACGATGTTTCAAAACGAATAACTCGCAACACAGATAAGAAAATTTTGCGATTGCCAAAATGTAAAACAGAATTTTACAGGAAGTCATTCATTTATTCAGGGAGTGAAATTTGGAATGATCTTCCACTTGAACTTAAAGAAGCACAGAGCCTAGCAGTCTTTAAGAGAGCTCTAAAAGAAAATATCACATGATAAGGTGTTCTTCTGCATAGTTGATTTGTATCATGTTACTTGACTCCAACTGTTGTTCTTTTGTGCAATATTATATTCAGTTAATGTATTCCTATGTTTTGGTTTATTTTATTTTCATAGTTGATTTTATCATTATCTATTCAGTTTTTGAAATGTTACTTTACTCCATTACCATACAATGTTTAATTTATTTTCATAGTTGATTTTATCATTATCTATTCAGTTTTGTCATGTTACTTGACTCCATTACCATACAATGCTTACAATTATCATTAATGAACTGTTGTTCTTTTGTGTAATATTATATTCAGTTAATGTATTCCCATGTTTTTGTTTAACTTATTTTCATAGTTAATTTTATCATTATCTATTATGATTCAGTTTTGTTATGTTACTTGACTCCATTACCATACAATGCCTACAATTATCATTAATGAACTGTTCTTCTTTTGTGTAATCTTATACTCAGTTAATGTATTCCCATGTTTTTGTTTAACTTATTTTGTAGTTGATTTTGATTATTATCTAAACCATGCATACATTGTGTTAAATGTTTAATAATCCGATATTGTACAGTTCTAATTGTAATTTATGTAATTTTTAATGTGCTGTTTATATAATCAGGGCTCTGTTGAAGACCAGGTTTTTATTTTTTGTATACTGAACAGACTACCCTGAATAAAGAAGTGAAATAAATAAATAAAATAAATAAATCGCCTTCTTTCTCTAATAATTAAATGTAACGTCATAGCTTCTGCGCTTCGCGCGGGAGGGGCAAAAAAGAATTAAGAGTCGGGAACGGTACAACGAAACGTCTTCTTTCTCTAATAATTTAATGAATTGTCAAAGTTTCCGCGCTTTGCGCGGGAGGGATGAAACTGAATTCAAACAAGGATTAAGAGTCGAAAACAGTACAACGAATCGTCTCCTTTCTCTAATAATTTAATGGAACGTGAAAGCTTCCGCGCTTCGCGCGGGATGGGCGAAAATGAATACAGACAAGGATTAAGAGTAATAATTAAATGAAACTTCAAAGCTTCCGCGCGGGAAAGGGGAGACTGAATTCAGACAAGGACACGATACAACGAATCGTCTTCTTTTTCTAATTTGGTTGGTTGATCGTTTCAAAAGCAGCCGAGAAATCAAGCAAAACCAAAACAGCCTCTATACTAGTCCTCTATCGACAGCCAGTAGCAGATCATTGTAGAATTTGATGAGGGAAGTCTCTATTGAATGGAACTATCTGTACGCATACTGCATGCACGGGAACAGGTCATTCGTCTGTAGGTATGCACGAAGTCGAGCTGTTACAATCCTCTCAAGGTCCTTTGAAATGAACATCAAGTTGGAGATTGGCCTGTAATGCCTGAATTCGTCTGGATCCAATTGCTTCTTCTTCAGAAGTGGAATCACATGAGATTTCGTGTATGCTGCAGGTACTATTCCGCACGGCAAGGATAGATTTATAAGTTGAGTTATAAATAGCAGGAGCTCATCTAAACACTCTTTCATCTTTCATCATAAATGAAAATAAAGATAAAAATTAGAATAACAGTATCTTAACTATGATGTGCAAACTTAATGAATAATGTTATCCACGCAAGTAATAGAATAAGTGGAACATTTTTTATTTCACAAAAAAAAGTTTTATCTAATTCGTACTCATTGTTTCAAACATATCAATTGTACATAAATTGTGCTTAAAGGACAAGTCCACTCGAAAAATTATTTATTTTCAATAAAAGCAGAAAAATCAGACAAACCAATCGAAAAAAGTTTGAGCAAAATCGGATAACTAATACAAAAGTTATGAATTTTTGAAAAAGTATGTAAAACTATGGAACAATAAGAATCACAACACAAATTGCCAAGATGCTTATCAGTTTGTGACGTCATGTTGTCACTATTCATCAATTGCTCTATATGGTTTAATCCCATTAATTTCCCAGGTTATATGATTTTATCATATTGCGTGCATGACATTTCCAAAAACTTTTGTGAACTTTGAAGAATTTATGTTAATTTCTGAATATTGTATATTCATAATTATTGATTTTTATATAAATAGTTTATCAAAATTCACATTTTTTATGATTATCTGGAAAAAAATTCCCTATATTAGTGCATCCACACAAAAACATATTACTATTTATCTAACTTGGATGCTGGTGTGAAGAAATAAGATTCTTAAGGAGAAAATAGGAAATTTATATCCTCAATATGAAGAAAATAATTAGTGGATAGTGAGGACATGACGTCACAGACTGATAAGCATCTTGGCAATTTGTGTACATAATGACGAAGAACAACGTATATATACGGGTAACTTATTGTTTAATTCAATGGCCCTACAGTATATACGCTTACATAAATTTGCTCGTGGTTTAGGTAAAAGCAAATCATCTTTTGAACGGAGTAAGTATCTCGTATTTTTTCTTCGAATTTTTTTTTCAAATGATTTAGAGTCATATCATAATAATAATACACAGCATTTATTAGGCGCTTAACACTTTTGATTCTAAACGCACTATTGTCTTTCTACAAATTACCAACCAAAACTTTTAATAAGCATACAAACTGTAAATCTGTTCTTTATTCAATAAATCATGCATATATATAATAATAAAAATAAAAATGAGATCAAACATAAGATCAAACAAACGAGGAATAATATGGTGTG